TAGCTAGATTATGATATGAGCTTTTCAAAAACACTTAAATCATCTAATTTAGATGTAACACTAGAAGTTGCCTAAATCTATTGTCAAATGATAGCAGAGTTGCTGTCATGAGAGTGTAACACGCCATGACTCATGACCCTGTGCTGTGGTGCATCACACAGAGAGTGGTAAGCCACAGTGCATTGCGCATGGGCCACCTAAATTTACATGAAGGAGTCTTTCCCTTTTCTTTTTAAAGAATTATCTTAATTTTTTTTTTTCACTTTTTTTAGTAAAAAATTATGGTTTTTGGTTTTGATCCCTTAAATTTAAATATAAAACATGCTTCTAGTAAAGGTCAATTTTTATTTAACCCATCCTTTCACAGTAAAGAATTTAGTCAATAAATGGTGTCAATTGTCAGAGTTAAGGGACATAGGCCTCCTTCCTTCTTCCTCCTCCGATGAATTTGAAGTCCAAGCTATGTTTCATTGCTGTTAGCGTTACACTTTAAGGTTAAGCATGACAACCCTGCTAAATGAAAACCAAATGATGTCCTCTCAAGTTTTATGGTGAGAAGGTATATCTTCTTTCTTTCTGCTATTCACTGTCTTCTTCTTGATCTTACTCATGAATTCACATTCTAAAATCGATCCCAACTTCATCTTCTCGGCCTCACTTCTCATAAAGAAAATATGAATCCTCTTGCAACCAAAGAAGGTCTTGATGTAATCAACAAGAATATTTTAAAGTTAGATGAATGAATGATTGATAAAGGCCCAGATTTACATCTATATCTAAAAACTAATAAACAGTAGAACAAAACAACTCCAAACACAAAGTTGGATCAAGATAAACTTGGGAAATCAATGGACATGTAAATTACTAACACTCTAGACCAGTACACAACCAAATAAAGCAACAGTGACTTAAGGGGTCAAAGCACTTATCTCATACAAACAATTACTAATTAGATGCAATAGATGCTACAGAATCAACACCGGAGATGACACCCAACACATAAATGAAGAGCTTGCCAAGAAATTGGAACAAGAACAGACTTTAATGGAAAGAACCAAGAAACTAATGGATGTATACCCATCTATCCAAATTCTGATGATGGAAGAAAATTTGCTTACCTTAGATGGGTATTATAGTTATCAACACTCTGTGTTTACAACTGAATCCCAAATCCCTTAAGCCAAGGCTAGTAAAGATGTGACAACTCATAAACTTTGAGTTAATTGACCTTATCAACAGTTACTACATAATTATAACCAACAACCGAGCTGCCTATGACGACATACTCAATGGGGGTCTTTGGACAATTTTTGACCACTGTATTCTAGTCCAACGCTGGTCTCCAAGTTTTAACCCCAACTTTAATATATTGGGCAAAATAGCTCTATAGGCCAGACTCATAAATGTACCAATCCAATATTATGATAAAGAAATTCTTTGGAGAATTGGAAATAGCATAGGAAAAACACTTAAAGTGGATACCAACTCTCTATTCGAATCAAACTCTAAGGATGAGTAGGGCAAAACGAAAAGAGGTAAATTCGTGTAAATTAATGTTGAAATAGACTTGCAAAAGAAACTAGTTCCTATAGTACTCATAAGAGAATATCTCTATAATGTGGAATACGAAATCCTTAATCTAATCTATTTTAGGTGCAAATGTTATGATCATAACAAAAATAATTGTCCTTAAAATTCAAAAAATGCCAATACAGAAAAGGTAGAAGGGAATGGAAATAAGCTAAATCAAATCACAAATCAGGATTCAATCAAAGCATAATGAAAAGAAGGTGAAATGAAAACCTAGAACATTAGGGTTTTATCAAAATGAAAAACAAAGCCAAGCAATGAATCAAAAGTTTAATTATCTCTTGACCTAAAAATTTGGCTAAAAAATAGAGAAGATAGTGACTTTTCTTTTCTATTAATTTCTCAAACTCATTACAATCAGTAGTTTGATTATAAAAAACTACTAGATTAAGACATCAATCAAAGTTTCATTCCAGAGTCTCAATTTTCAGATAAGCCTATTATGGAATTCCAAAATGAGACCTTAGTAGATGATTATAGTCTTGAAAATGCTATCCAAATTAATTAAGACAATGAATTTCTTGATGATGACCTTTTAGATGAAGACTAGAGCAATACAATGCCCAATGATGTCTTTAAAAATGATGAATTTATCGATGATCAAATAAAAGAATCAATGAATTGTTCCAATGCCTAACATGCTCCTAGGTTTATCTTATCCTTTTACTCTTTTTTATGGATATACTTTGTTGGAATTGTAAAGGTGCTTGTGCTAAAAGTTTCCCCAAATGTATTAAGGAAATCAATAACTCATATGACACTCGAGTTCTTATCCTTGTTGAAAATAGAAGTAGTAGTTTTAAAGCTGACAAAGTTGTTACAAATTTGGGTTTTACTGATTAGATTCTTGTGGAAGTCACTGGTTATGCAGGTGGTATTTGGTTATTTTAGAATAATGATATTATCCATGTTGATTATATTTATTCTAATTTCCAACTGTTGCATTGCAAGATTAACATTTTATACAACAACATCTCTTACTTGTACTATTGTGTTTATAGTGATCCTAATTCTTCTAACTATGAGCTTTTTTAGAACTCTATTTTCTCTCTTGCTCATAATTCGACTGATCCTTGGCTTATTATTGATGATTTTAAGTCCTAGCTTTCATGTGATTATAAGTTGGGTGGCAATAGCTTTAATTAGAGGTCTATAAAACAATTTAGACACTGCATTAATACTTCTAACCTTCTTGAATTAAATTTCCATGGTGATGGGTTTACTTAAGAAAAAGGCAATGTTAAAGAATGATTTAATTGGGCTTTTTCCAACATGGAATGGAGATTTAAATTCCATCAAGTCAATTCCTTCCATCTTCTTAAATGTGGATCCAATCATTATCCTATAAGAATTCAACTTGATAGCAAAGATCATCAAGCAAATTATCAAAAACCTTTCCAATGTCATGTAGCTTAGATGCTTGAGAAATCCTTCCAACCTCTGATCAAAGATTCTTGGCTTAATCATGATTAGAAGGAAGGAGTTACTAAATTTGCCAACTCTGCTTCTATTTGGAATAGGGACAACATTAGAAGTATACCATCCAAGAAGAAAATAATCTTAAGATGCCCGGAAGGAATCCATAAAAATAGAAACTATAAAGATAGCTACTTCCTAAAGAAATTAGAAAAGTCTCTTTGGCAAGAATAATAAAGTTCTTTTGCAAGAAGAATGAATTTGATTTTAAAAATCTAGATGTAAATGGTTAAATTAGGGAGATCGAAACACCAAATTCTCCCATGCTACCACCATCATAAAAAAGAAAAGAAACAAATTTTAATACTTAAAGCAGATGATAATACTTGGATAAAGGATCAAAGTATTCTAGAAAGCATGGCTGTCTCCTATTTTGAAGACCTATTTAAGGAAGATACTAATATCAAACCTAAGCTTGCTACTAAAAGAAGCTTCCTGCCTCTTAGTTATGCTCAACTCCAATCTTTACATAAAGAGATGACTGAAGATGAAATTAAAAGTGTTGCTTTTGATATTGGAGCATTTAAATCTCCTAATATTGATGGTATTAATGTTGGATTCATTCATATTTACTGGGACGATCTTAAAAATAGAATTTTCAAGCTTGTTACTAAAGCTTTTAGGGACCCTGATACTATTAGTAAGATAAATGATACTATTATCACTTTGATCCCCAAGACTGATCACCAACCTATATGAAAGACATTAGGCCCATATCTCTTTGCAATGTGAGCTGTAAAATAATTATGAAGATTCTCTCCAATCATCTCCATGATTGTATAAATCATTTAATTAGAGATAATCAATATAGTTTCACTTAAGGGCGCCAGAGTAGTAATAATATCATCATTGTTTAAGAAATTAGCCACTTCATGAGAGAAAAAATCTAGCAAAAAAGGATTTATAACACTCAAGGTGAACTCAAAGAAGACTTTTAACATATTGTCTTGGGATTTCATTGATGATACCCTCAAATCCATTGGTCTCAATTGCCACTTCAAGAAGTTGATCCAGGTTGCCATGTCCACTACACATATGATAGTTCTCTGGAATGGAAAGCCTACTAAAGAATTCACACCAACATGTAGCATTAGAAAGGGAGACCCTCTCTCTCTCCTTATCTATTTGTTCTTTGTATTAAGCAATTAAGCTATTACATTCTCAGTAGTATTAATAAAAATGAATGAAAGCCCATTAGACTAACAACGGCCTTCTATTTCTCATCTATTCTTTCTTGACGATTTATTTCTTTTTGCATAATTATCACTTACTCAATCGATGATTATTCAACAATGTCTTTTTAATTTTTGCAATACTTCAAGATAGAAAATAAACACTACTAGATCTAAACTTTTCTTCTCTAAAAATGTCAATATTAATAAAGCCTCTCAAATTAGTGCAAAGTTAGGAATTTCCCTTATAGAAAATCTTGGCGAATATCTTGGAATCTCCCTTATTCATAAAAAGACTTCTAAGCTTACTTTCGCACCATTAATTGATAATATGACCTCTCATTTAGAAAATTGGTGAAGCAAATATCTGAACATTGCTAGAAAAATGTTCTCATCAATTTTGTTCTTTTAGCCCTCCCTAGGTGCACTATGCAGACTATACTCTTACCAGATAACATTATGGTTGAATTAGAAAAAAATGTGAGAAATTTTCACTAGGGCTCAATTGATAGAAATAATTGGGTAATCATTTTTTATCATGTTTATAGAGAAGCTAACAAATGCACATATTTGCTGGCTCATCAATCCTCTTGGAATAACTTAGACACTAGCATTCTTGATAATCTTTCACCTAGTTGTAGAACCCTTATAATTTTAGATATAATTTAATTTTATCTTTTTTGTATGGTTAAGCCGTGTACTAAAAAAAAAAAAAAACCAATGACAGAGGCCCTTCCTTTTGCGCGCAAAAATTGGCTGTATTATTGAAAAGGGGTCGTCCTCGTCACCTCTACTCTGCCTGCAGAGCCTCTGAAGTCTAAGTCTGAGCTAGTGCCAAACTAGTTTCTCTGTCAAGAATCTTCAGAACTTGCGGTACTCTTTGAATTTAGTGGAAGCTAAATACGCCTGTTGTCCAAAACCGCCAAGTATGGCAACTAATCCCCCGTGGAATCCCCAGGAAGAAGGCTTTAAGGAGATCTGTGGTTTATTGGAGAAGCAGATTTCTCATCCTTCTTCTGCTGACAAGTCTCAAATTTGGCAGCAACTCCAGCACTACTCTCAGCTCCCCGACTTTAACAATTATCTTGTCTTCATTCTTGCACGTGCTGAGGTACAAGACAATTTCCATTTAACCTCCTTAGAGCATGAGTTCTTGTTTCCTGGACCGATTTTGGAATAAAATTAGAGGATATTTTAATAGCAAGGGTGTGTCTTGGCTGTTCCGGCTCCTTGAGGATACTTGCTTCCGTCATAAAAAAACGAGGGTTTATTGTTTTATTGATTCCTACTTTTATTTAAAATTTTACGGTGATCTTGGTGTATGCCTTGCTTTTGAGGATTTTTTTTTTGGGTTGTTAAACTCGATAATCTCTTGCAGTGCAATTTGAGAAGATTACCTTATGTTTTTCTGGTCGATTTTGGATGGGTTAGCTCATTTGAATTTAGAACTTTTTCTGCATTCCGTTTCTGATTGGGTTGTACAGTTGATCACATAGTGTATGAGTTTGGTATAGTCTAAATAAAATTTAGATTGGCGAAGCTGATACTAAATGGTGTAGGTAGAGGTTGCCTGACATGTAAAATGTTTGACATGAGGTGCTTTGAGGATATATGATTCATTCTGGAATGAAAGAAGAGTTAATTTGAATCTACGTCAGTTCACTACTGGGGATAAGCCATCAGGTTGGGCTACTTCATAATTTGTTGGGCGGAAAATTGTTTTTGGGAACTTATGGAATTACTTGTTTAATTTCCTCAATTTCTTTGATTGACATGTTTGTGGGATCATGTCAAAATTGACAAGTGAAGATCAAATGTTGTAAAACCATTCAAATGGAGCTTGAAAAAGAAACAATATAGTTTAACCTTTTTGTCATTGCAAGACCTTTTGTCTGTGGAAATTTAGAGCATCATTTGGTTCCTAAGAGAGATAGCTGATGCACAATTGCATCGTGCCTTGTGTATAGCATCCATTGGTTGACGTTAATCCAAATTTTATGTTAATAACTGTTCTGTGAAAATTTGACTTTTGAACAGGGAAAACCGGTGGTGGTTCGACAGGCTGCAGGCCTATATCTGAAGAATAACCTTAGAACCACATATAAATCCATGCTTCCTGTTTATCAGCAATATGTGAAATCAGAGTTGCTGCCTTGTCTTGGAGCAGCAGACAGGAACATCAGGTCCACAGTAGGAACCATTCTGAGTGTTGTTGTTCAACTTGAGGGAGTTTTGGGGTGGCCTGAACTATTGCAAGCCCTATTAAATTGCTTGGATAGTAATGATTTAAATCACATGGAAGGTGCTATGGATGCTTTATCCAAGGTACATTATGTACTGTAGAGTTCAAGAGCTCAAATTGTATCTTCAAGAAAATTAAGATTCTGGAATTATGTTCTTAGGTGTCTTGAATAATTGCTACTAATTGTTTTTTCCATAGTTTGGATAAATGCATCCTATTTAATGTTATTTCTTGGCTATAACAAAAATTTGTTGTTGCTGCTACTGAAATTCCCGTTAGAGCTCTACCAAGGGAAGGAATGTTACCTTTTCTTCAATTTATTTATGAAATAGAATTTATAAGAAGGAAGAAAGAACAATTAACAACTCCGCCTATGTTTATAGTCGGTCCCAATCTCGAGTAAAGGAGGGGTTCTTAATAGCCAGCATAAACTTTGTTGAATCTCACATGGATATGGACAATATATGTTTTTGTGCTAATGCTAGGTCGTTGCCTGTAAGTAATGCACTGTATGGCTCGAGTGAGGTGATAAGTGTGTTAGAGTCATTGCATCGGCTCCTGAATATAGTGTTAAATGAGTGAAGGCTATCGTGTTTTTTTTTGGACGAGCGTGGTTAAAGAAGTTAGTTTATGTGAGCAAAATCGGATTTAGTACTTAGAATGTTAGGATCTTGACTTCTAAATCTATGGAGGTGGTACGAGTTATAATTTATAGAAAAATTAATATCTTGTGCCTATAGAAATTAAATGGCCCGGTGGACAAGCTAATGATATTCAACGTTTCAAACTTTGGTATATAAGGAAAGTAAGTACATAGAATGAGATGGGTATTATTGTTGATGAGGAATTGAAAAAGAATGTGGTAGAAGTTAACTAAATTGAGAACAAAATTATTTCCTTAAGAATGATTGTTGGACATGAGGCTATCAATATTATTAGCACTTGTACACTTCAAGCCCGGTTAGAATCTCGTCTTAAGGAATTGTTTTGGTCAGATTTGGAGGGATTGATTCGATGTATACCACAAAGTGAAAAAAAATCTTTGTTGGAGGAGACTTTAATGGTCATATTGGGAGGGAGATAGGTAATTGTGCAAGGGTGCATGGTGGTTTTGGTTTTAGGGAAGAAAACAATAAAAGACAATTTATTCTTGATTTCTCTTTGGCATATTATTTCAAGATTGTTAACACTTGTTTCAAGAAGAGGGATGAACGTCTCATTACCTAAAAGAGTGGAGCCTCAAGGTTACATATTGATATCCTTTTGGCAAGGAACATGTATAGAAGACTTTGTGAAAATTGTAAGGCGATTCCTGGAGATGGTGTAACAACACAACATAGGGTTCTTGTTCTTAATGTGTGTATCACAAGTAAAAATAAAAGCACCGACAAGTAGTAAACTCAAGGATTAGGAGGTGGCAGTTAAAAATTGAGAAGTGAAAAATTTTCAAGCTAAATTTTTTGGCCAAAGGAATTTGAGAATCCCAAGAAAGTACCAGCATCTTGTGGGAGGATATGACTGAGAAAGTAAGGAAGGTTGTTAAAGAAGTTTTGGGAGAGTCAAAAGGTTTTGGTCTAAGAGATAAGAAGTCTTGGTGGTTGAATGATAATGTACAGGAAAAAGTCAAACAGAAGAACGAGCGTTTTAAAGTCATTCAACTATGCAAGAATGATGAAAATTGGAAAAAAAATCATAGGGCTAAGAGGGAAACTAAAAGTTGTGAGTGAAACTCATTTTAAGGTATTTGAAGAGTTTTATAAGGATCTTGGGATAGGATGGAGAACGAAAAATTTTTAAGATATCTAAGAGTAGGGAAAGAAAATCAAGAGATTTGGAACATGTGTGATGTATAAAGGATGAAGAAGGAAGAGTTTTGGTTATAGATGGTGATACTTAAGACAGATGGAAGATCTGATTTTACAAACTTTTCAATGATGGAGGGGGTTCGTCTAGTGATTTGAAAGATTTAGCAACTTGTGAAGGAGAACAGAATTAATGATTCTATCGAAGGATACACGATAGTAAGGTAAAGGAAACTCTTAAGAAAATGATAAATAATAGAGTCAATGAACCTGATTGTATCATTATTGAAGTGTGAAAATGTTTAGGTGAAGAGGAGGTGCAGTAGTTAACTAATTTATTTAATGAGATCTTACAATCCAAGAAAATGTCTGATGAATGGAGAAGAAGCACCTTAGTTCCTATTTACAAAATAAAGGGGATATTTAGAATTGTGTAAATTATAGATAGATTAAACTTATGAGTCATACAATGAAATTGTAGGGAAGAGTAATTGAGCATAGGTTGAAATTAGAGACTGATATTTCTACGAATAAATTTGGATTCATGCTAGGGTGACTACATAAGCAATTTATTTATAAACAGGATCAATGAAAAAGTATCATTGTAAAGGTGAAGATTTATACATAGTTTTTATTGATTTGGAGTAAACTTATGACTGTATAGTGAGAGAAGTACTTCAAAAAGCCTTAAAAAAGAAAGGAGTCCAGATTGCTTATATTAGAGTTATACAATATATGCTTAAGGAGGCAACAACTAGTATAAGAATGTTTGAAGGGTGAAATAAAGGACTTTTTTATAAGGATTGGACTACATCAGGGATCATCTTTATGTCCTTATTTGTTTGATTTGGTCCTGCATGTTTTGACTAAGTATATTCAAGAGGAAATCCTTAAATGCATGTTTTTTGTGAATGATATAGTTCTTATTGCAGAGATAAGGGATTAACTACAAACGTGAGTTATGGAGGAGGATGTCAGAATTGAAAAGTTTCCACCTGAGTAGGAGTTAGATAGAATGTGTATTGTAAGTTTGACAAGAGGTCAGTTAGTAGTAATTTGAAAATGAAGTTGGAAGATCATATTACATCTCGAGTGAAAAAGTTTATGTATTTGGGAGCTATTATTCAACATGATGGGAAAATTGATAGGGATGTTACACAATTGATACAAGTTGAGTGTTTTAATTAGATAAAGGCTAAAGGAGTTATTCATAAACGAAAGGTACTTAATAAACTTAAAGAAAAGTTTTATCAAAGTGCTATTAGACCAGCTATATTGTATGGTAGTGAATGTTGGGCTTTAAAAGGATAGTAGGAACATAAAGTTGGGGTAATAGAGATGAGAATGTTGAGATGAATTTGCAAGTATACACATAAAGATAAAATTCGTGATGAGTTTATATGATAAAAAGTTAGTATAGCATCTATTGAGGGGAAAATGATAGAAAAATATTTTAGATGGTTTGGACATGTACGGAGAAGATCGTGGGAGGCACCGATGAGGAAAGTGGAAGGGATAATTTTGAGTCATGTAAAGAAGGGCAGAGGAAGGTCAAAGAGAACATTTATAGAAACTGTTGACTGAGACCTCTTAATTAATAACATTTTTAAAAACTTGATAAATAATAAAGTACAATAATGTAATGCAATTTATGTAGCCAACCTCACATAGTGAGATAAGGCTTATTGTTATTATTGAAGAAAGAATAGACTATGAAAGGGTTAATGTTAAACCAATAAGATTGGGAGGCAGAAGAGTTTTCCTGTTCTTATGCTTGTCCACTAAGGATATTCCATGAAAAGCAAGTGGTAAGCACCAATGTAAAGCCATGAAAACAATCACATTCCTTAACAATGAATACTGCCATAAATGTCTCATTGTTCCTGTCAAAACCTTTAATCAGCAAACAATATTCCAGCTCTACAGGAATACCTGATATTCTCCAAAGTCTACTCTACAAGTAACCATCTGCTGAGCAATATAAAAGAAATATGCAGTTGTATTTGAATTGGAGCAGCATACCACACACATCTGAGGAGACAAAGTATTCTTATATCAACTAATCTGTAACATTTCAAGGAACAAAAATGGCTTGCTTTGAGTGTTTGGCAAGTCCATTTTATAGTCTTTCAGGTCCTATTTGGTTTTAGTTTGTTCATGCTGGAGAGAAGCTGAGATGAGTCCACAAATTAGAAATGGACAAGTATGTCACAAATTAATAATGATAATAAATAGTGTTGCAGACTTTCTGCAGCATGTAAATTTATGAAAACACACATGGATCAGCAGTTGCTTATTGTATTTGCTGAGAAGTGCAAGTTGATGTGATTAAACACCCAAATTACTTATTCTATCAATAAACAAGTCCATGCCCAAATCTTTGTCAATTAATACTGGAGCTTGTTTTTGATCTACTAGTGAGTTGGTAATTTTGTGTTTCTGTGATTTATGTCTTCTTCCAATTCTCTTTCGGTTTAGGTGGGACTGAGGGTTCCATTATCTAGGGTATTGACTTCTGAGAAATAAAAAGTGACATGTATTTTCTTCCCCTTCCCTGTGATCATCATCTTCCATTCCCTCCATTTTTTAAGTTGTGCTTATTTAAAAAATTTGATGGAAACTTGGCAGCTAGAGAATGGAGAGGCCTTATGCTTTGTTTATCCAACCTTTTTAGTAGCTGGTAGGAGATATTCCAAATCCAATTACATTCAACTGACACTTCTTTACGTTTTATTTTACATATCTGGACACTTTTTAACTATTGTAGTTTATCTGGGCAATGCAGATATGTGAGGATATTCCGCAAGTACTTGATTCAGACATACCTGGGTTAGCAGAACGACCAATCAACATATTTCTTCCCAGATTATTTAGGGTAACTAAGCATTTTATATTTGCATCTATTATGCTGCATCTCCTGGTGTAACTGTATCATTTGATTGTTTCTTGATGTGTTTCTTTAATTAGTTTCTGTACCTTTTTTCTTTTAATTTGTCTTACAGCTTTTCCAGTCTCCTCATGCCTCATTAAGAAAGCTTTCAGTGGGTTCTGTGAATCAGTACATTATGTTGATGCCATCTGTAAGGATATGAAGAGAACTTATGAGCCCCATTTGAATGATATAATACTGATGTTTGGCATTGGTAGTAGAATATTAATCATCTAAATTTTTATTTGGCAGGCTTTGTATGTATCCATGGACCAATATCTTCAGGGTTTATTTATTCTTGCAAATGACCCTGCTGCAGAAGTGCGGAAGTTGGTGAGTTTTTATTGCTTTGTCGTTTGTGGACAAGCATCTAATGTAATTCTAAGATGACTTTTTCTTTTTCTTTTTTAAATTGCATTTTTTCTGAGTTAGTTTCAACTGATTTCAATAGCTGTTCATTGAAATTTGGCCTCATTATTGTTTTGTGTAATACTTCATTTTTATATATCTGTTATTTCATGAACAAGGAAGGTATTAGGCACTGTTGACATATGCATGTTGATTGTTGAGTATGCTCATAAAGAGCTCGTCACTATTATAACTTTGATTAGGTGTTATTTGTTCCATTGAATTATTGCTTCCTTTCTTGAGACACTGCATTTTTGTTCGAGGGCTGTAATCTCTCTGACTAACTTTTGACGCTAGTGGATTTATTATGCTATACCATGGGATTATATTATGATAAATTTTGTGAAGAATTATCATATGTGGTTGCCACTCGTGATCAGGTTTGTGCAGCATTTGTTCAACTAATTGAAGTCCATCCATCTTTTTTAGAGGTATGCATCTTGTTCAAGTTCATATGGCTTTATAGTATTGCATGTATTGAATGATTCTACTCTATTTTCTTTTTGGTTTAACTTTCTATATAATCAGTTAAGTCTCTCCAATCCTTCCATCACATTAATTTAATTCTGTTGTGTCAACACGTTCTTCTTTGCCAATAACTTACCTCTCTCGACCCCCTCTTGTCTAAAGCAATTTTTAATTGTAATTTGTGCTACAGCCTCATCTAAGAAATGTTATAGAATACATGTTACAAGTCAACAAGGACACAGATGATGAAGCAGCTCTTGAAGCCTGTGAATTTTGGTAACATTTTCTTTCGGGTGTGATGGCCTTTATGTCATAGCTGAATTCTGTTGTATAATTTGTAGTTATTGATAGCAGAGAGTAGTATTGAACCTTTATGGGACTACTTTATCAATTTCATTGTTAACTTTTAAATGTGATCAAGTTCTAGTTTCAAATAATTTCCACCCCTAATGTTCTGTAGCAGCTATCCTGATGGATTTTTTAAGTCTGTCTAATTCAAGACACTCCAGTAAGAATCGAAGAAATATGATAGTCCACCTAGGTAAACTTTCATTCACAATATCATCTGAGGTTGATCTCTCTTCGGAAAATTGGGTTTATTCATCTAATCCAACCATAGTTACTACAGTAGTGTTACAATGATCGATTTTTGGTTTCTGAATCATAGGGTTCATACTAATAAGAGTTTGATGCTCCCATTGCTTGTAATCTCTGGGTGATAAATTTTGTTGTTGAGTGTGTTTATTAGATTTCGGACAACACTAGGACTTTTGCCTCTTTTCTTTTCCCCTTGTAAACAGCTTTTGCATCTTATACCTTTTTTATATAAAATAATTATGATTGCAGGTCTGCTTATTGTGATGCTCAACTGCCACCTGAAAACTTGAGAGAATTCTTGCCTCGTCTAATTCCAGTTAAGCTAATAATATCCATTTTCTTTTATAATTGTTATGCCTTGGGATGTTTGTAATTTTAAGCTTATCTGTTGGATCTTTGCAGGTGTTGTTATCCAATATGGTTTATGCAGATGATGATGAATCACTTGTTGAAGCTGAGGTTATCTTCTGGATTATTCTGTATTTGTCTTTTATTTTCATTTAACCCTGGTTATTTTAGTTTATGGGGCTTCATTTGTTTTGCGCTATTTATTTCAGGAAGATGGTTCCCTTCCTGATCGAGATCAGGTTTGAATTACTTGTTGAGTTGTTGGAAATTCTGGCTTTGAGAAGATCCTTTTTTGGGTTTAATTGTTATATTCTTCTTCACAGGATGTTAAACCTCGATTCCATGTATCAAGATTTCATGGTTCAGAGGACATTGAAGATGACGTATGTCATTTTGTAATTGCATGTGTTTGCCTTTTCAAATTATTTGATCAATCTAATTGCTTTTGTAATTGAAATTTCCATAGCTTTTGAAAGATGAGGTTATATGGGAGAGAGAGCTTTCCTGATCTAAATTATCATCGTCGTTGTCGTCGTCGTCATCGTCATCATAATTCCTCTCTCTCTCTCTCATCCCCCCACCCCCCCAAACAAAAACACTTACAGGATGATGATGTTGTCAACACATGGAACTTACGGAAATGTAGTGCTGCTGCTCTTGATACTCTATCAAATGTGTTTGGAGATGAGATTCTTCCAACTTTCATGCCTATTGTTCAGGTGTGTTACGGATATTAAAACCAATATCGGGCTCTCTCCTAATAGCATGAACTTTTGGTTTTTGACATCGTATGGATGCCTTTTCAACTGAGTGGTCAAGAATTTGATCTTGGACATGGTCCTATCCTTCACAATTAAATTAAAAAGTAAAACACATTGACCTTCCCTCTATTTTACTTTAATTATGGACACCTCCTTTCTATTTTGAAAGAATACACATTTTCAAGGTTGTGTCCATCCACCCAATTATTTTAGTTTAATCAAATCACAAAATTTGGACTTTTTGGATCAAAATACCCCAAGCACATGTATATTGTTTTGCCTTTTCATATCTGTTACCCACAAGCTTTGCAGGGCCAATGAAAAACACATAATGATTTTACCAAATCTGAACTTTTTGAGGAAGACACACAATTATTCATGCACATAAATATCTCATGCAAAATCTATAGCAAGATTGAGAGCAATGAAGCATGTTTTGAAGTCTTTCTAATTAGCTGTCTTTAATATAGCTAACAACGCTGTAGTCAAAACAAGATATATGTATATATACGTAAAAGAGATTAGGGTCAACATTCCGCTCAGCGCACTAAATCCCATCTAAATTCACACTTCTTTGCCTCCTCACTCTCATATTCTTAAGCAACTCTAACATATGGGCTAGTGAGGTTTTAGAGTTTTCACGTTTGCAAAAAGGATAGACACCCAACACATGTTGCATCTGGAATTAAGATAATTAATAAACCCAAGCTTGACGGGTCTTGATAGCACTAGAATCATTCACAGCTATCACGACTGTTCTAATTATATAATTTTGTTTTCATTGTTTACAGGCTAAGTTGTCAACCAATGGTGACAATGCTTGGAAAGAAAGGGAAGCTGCTGTCTTGGCTATTGGTGCCATAGGCGAGGGTTGCATTAGTGGACTTTATCCTTACTTGCCTGAGGTATCTATTTTCTTGTTCCTATTACCTTAATATAGAAGCCAAATGCTTATGAATAATGCTAATTTTGCTTCCCTTTGACTCCATGCTTATGTCTTTTCTCATTTAACTTTTTGTTTTTTAAACAATTCTCTCTTTTACTTTTTGTAGAACACCATAATTACACCTTTTTAATCATGTTTTACTTCCAAAAATTTTCAATTTTTTCTTACAAATATGTCACATTCATAAGTTACTATCTATCTCTTGCATTGCTCGGGAAGAAATCTAGTTTATTAGAAAGGCTGCTGAACTTATTGTTTTGGGCTTTAATCAAGTTATGCTACAGTTGGTTTACATTTTTCAATGCTATATTATGCTACCAATCATTTTTCTTATATGCTTCTTTATGTTACAGTTCCTTGCTGAGCTCATCATTGTTGTTAGAATTATCCCTTTCAGTAGTGTTGTTCTAGTTCCAAATAATACTATCACTATTGCATAATAAAATGCTTTACGCCATTGTTGTTCATTACTTTCATACCAAGTTGTCTACACATGAATTCTATTATTCATAGTAAATGCATGCGTATACTGAACTGTCTTTTCCAAATAGTAAAACTTGATTATAGTAAGTATTTAATGCAATTTATTCATGTGGTATTTTGAGAGAGGAAAAATGTATTTCTCATTCATGGGTTTTCTAATATACAAACTGGTGCTATATATGCACATCGAGAGAGATAAAACCTAATAAATACCAATAAAGCTTGATAATGCTAATAAATGCTAATTATTTACAATAATGACATAATATTCCTACACTCCCCCTCAAGTTGGATCATAGATGTTAATCATGTCCAATTGACTTAAACAACTCTTAAAGGCAGGCTTAGGTGGTCCCTTGGTTAGCATATCAGCAGCTTGTAACTTTGTAGGTAGGTATGTTAAACATACAATGCCTTCTTTACTCTCTTTGATAAAATGCCTTTCCACTTCCACATTTAGATCTCTTATGTTGTATAGGATTCAATGCCATGCTTATGGTGGCCTTGTTATCACAATACAACTTTATTGGTGGATCAATTTTGACCTGTATTTCTTCCATGACCCTTCTTATCCATAGTTCTTATGTAATTCCTTGAGCTAATGCTCTCAATTATGATTCAGCATTGCTTCTAGATATAACTCTCTGTTTTTGACTTTTCCAAGTCACTAAGCTTTCCCACACAAATGGGCAATCGCTAGAGGTGGATCTCTTATCTCCATAGGTCCCCCTTAGTTTGCATTTGTATAGATCTCACTTGTCCTTTGATCATGCTTCTTGAATAGTAATCCCTTACCAAGTGTGCCTTTAAGGTATTTGAGACTCCTATATGTAGCTTCTAGGTGTTTCTTCCTTGGATCACTCATGTATTGACTTGCTACATTGACAACAAAAACAATATCTAGCCTTGTATGGGATAGATAAATTAGCTTTCCAACTAGTCTTTGATATCTGTCTTTATCAACAGTTTCTTCTTTTTCCTTGTCTTCTTCTCCGACCTCATTATCAAAGTCGTCTTCTCCTTTTGAATCCTCCTTATTGTTTTTCTCAGGCTTCTTCTTCTTTCTCGAGACCACAATAGGAGTTTCTTCAGGTTTATAACCTAATATGTCAGTTTCCTTGAGAAGATCAAGTATATACTTCCTTTGAGATACATATATGCCTCGTTTGTCCTTCCAACTTTCATCCAAAGAAAATATTTCAAGTTGCCGAGATCCTTGACTTCAAATTCCTTACCAAGGACACTCTTTATTCTTGCTATTTCCTCAACATGATCTCTTGTAAGAATTATATCATCTACATACACAATGAGGATGCATTTCTTAGCTCTCTCAGCCTTAACAAACATCGTATGATATGACAATCCTTGTTTTTAGCCTTCTTACTTCAAAACCTTTGAGAACCTGTCATACTTTGTCACTTTGCCTCTATTAAAGCTTAAAGGTAGAGTCATGTAGACTTCTTCCTTCAATTTTCTATTTAGAAAGGCATTTTTGATATCTAGTTGATGAAGTGGCTATTCAAGGTTGGCTACTACTGACAATAGAATTTTGATAGTGGTTAGTTTTGCCACTGGTGTAAACGTCTCTTTATAGTCTATACCATATGTTTGGGTGAAATCCCTTGCTACTAACCATGCCTTTAACTTGTCAAGTGTGCTATCAACCTTCTACTTTGGGGTAAAGACCTACTTGCAACTTACCAATTTCTTACCTCTAGGTCTTTCAACAATCTCCAATGTTCGATTTTTCACCAAAGCTCTCATTTCTTCCATAGCTACATTTCTCCATTCTGGTGTTTCTAGTGCCTCATAGGTGTAGTTAGGAATAACAACTTTATCCAAATTAGTGAGGAAGGCCTGGTAAATAGGAGAAAACGCCTTGTAGGATACATGCCTCTGAATCGGATACAAAGTAAAAGATTGAGGTTGTTTCCAGAAAGCAATAGGTAGATTAAGGTTAGCAGATTCACTTCCTTGGTTTGGGTCATCTAGCTCACCGGATGGATTAGTCCTTGGTACTTTAGCTTCAAGAACTACCTCTGGTTTTGATTCTCTTGGTGCCTCAAATACAAGTTGCTCACTATCTTTTGATTTCTTTATTTAAGTGTAAATCAATAACTCTCCCTTTTGTGGTCTTTCTATGTCTTCCTCTGTTTTCTTGTTTTCCCCAAATTGTGGCATGAGAGAAGTGGTTGGTGAAGGTGGGGTGTTTAATGAAAGAGATGGTGAGGGCAAAAGTTTTGGTGATGGCTCAAGAATTGCATATTCTGTGTTAGGCTTTAGTTCCCAAGTCTAAGATTCACATATACTCTCTTATGAACTGAAGAGTTGGAATAAAAAGTTCCTTTATGTAAGGTAACATCAAGGCTTACAAGGGTGCGTTTAGAAATAGGATCAAAACATTTGTATCCTTTTTGAGTAGGAGAATAGCCAAGAAAGATGCACTTGATGGCTCGAGGTTCAAGTTTATTATTTTGGTGGATATGAACAAAGGCTATGCAGCCAAATACATGAAGTAGGAGTTTGGTTTCAATGTAAGATGTGGGAAAAAACACTTTGCAATTTTTTGAGAGGACTTTCAAAAGATAAGATTCAACTCGGCATTTGATTGATGAGATAGGTTGCGGTTAAAATGGCATCCTCCCAATAAAACTTTAGCATATTGCAAGTGAACATGAGTGCTCTTGCAACTTCAAGGATATGTCTATTTTTTCTTTTTGCAACCCCATTATGTTGGGATGCATGGGCACAAGTACTTGTTTGGACAATAACATCTGGGGGAAATTACTCAAAGATTGGTTAAAGTACTCAGTATCATTGTTCGTGTGTAAGACTTGGATGCTAGTATTGAATTGGTTTTTTATCATGGTGAAAAAACTCATGAATGTTGATGCAGCGTTAGACTTGTTTTTTAAAAGATAAACCCAACAAATACAAGTATGGCATCAATGAAGGAAATGAACCATTTTGTTTAAGTACAGTTTAGAATACAAGATGGTCGCCACAAGTCATTGTGAATGATTATGAAAGGTCTGGTGGGTGTTTATTTAGCTTGGGGAAAGGAAGTTCGATGGTGTTTGGCAAGTTCACGCACCTCACATTAGATTTCACTATAATTTAGGTTTGGGCATAAGGTTGGAAACAATTGTTGAAGGTAATGAAAATTAGGATGACCCATCCTCTTATACCATAACAAAAAATCATTAACGTTAGAGGTAGATACAGAATTACCAACAATAGGTGAGTTACCCACTTGAGTGATGACTTCTAAATAATAAAGCCCCTTGTACTCCTTGGCACTATCAATTGTCGCACTAAATGATAGATCTTAAAACATATAATGGGATGGGAGAAATTTAGCAAAACAATTTGACTTCCTAGTCAATTGACTGATTGAAAGTAAATTGTCCTTGGCACATAGAGGACAAATTCCAAAACAATAGAATCCGATATATATATACTCCCTTTCCCTGCCACGAATGCATTTGCAATTTCCACTTTAACATTTCCAGCACATGGGTGTAAGTGGTGAACAATTGATGACAGTTAGTCATATGGTCAGATGTCTTGGAACCCATAGTCTACACCACCGCACTTCGAGTTGTTTTTAAAGCCTGAAGAAAAGACCCCCTTTTGCCACCAATGCTATAGGTGTAGATCTGGAAAAATTAGTTACGACACTGCATAGGAGTATCCATAGCACTTCAAATAAGGGAAAGACTTCGTGATAGACTGAAATCAGAAGTCACAGCCCAATGTAACTCCAAACACAACAAAACAGGGCACTAACGACACCATCCGGACTGATGTAGTTTGAAAACAATGTACCTACACACTGGATTGTCATGGATTTGGCTTGAGAGAGTGCGTCGTTGCCATTCGACGATGTCCTAGCTTGAACAAAGTGACCAAGTGCCGCTTCATGTGTTTTCTAATGTACAAATTGGTGCTATATATACACATCAAGAGAGATAAAACCTAATAAATACTAATAAAGCCTAATAATGCTAATAAATGCTAATTATTCACAATAATGTCATAATATTCCCACAATTCAATTGCTGTTATATCCTTGTGTGAGTTTTCTATTTCGGTGTAAATTGTAATTTCACAGATGCCCTAAAGAAAGTGCTATTATATCCGTATGTTAGTTTTCTTAGTAGCTTCCTTATTTTATTCTTACTGTAAGGAGGCTGGTTTTAGGATCCATTATGTGTCTTATATGCTTGTCAACTTCTTCTTCCCTTGGGGGAAGAAGTCTCTAAGCTTCCTGTATTTCTCATTCTCTAATTCTGAATATTAAATGGTTCTTCTGCATTTATAGATTGTGGCTTTTCTTATCCCTCTTCTTGATGATAAGTTTCCTCTAATACGAAGCATTTCATGCTGGACACTTTCTCGTTTCAGCAAATTTATTGTTCAGGTTTGTAATTTTGTTCCATCACCTGTTTTAGCTCAGCAATCATCATCATCATCATCATCGTTGTCGTCAATATATATTAAAAAACTCGAACCATTTTCCTGTTTTTTTTTTTTATGATTTATCAATTAGTTCTGCATTTCTTTTAATATTTTTTGTGTTTTTAACCTCTATTTTCATTTAAAAAAATTTAAATCCACCATAGCGTAAGTGAATTATGGAAAAGTAAGGGGAACTAGGGTTAAAAGGGTAGTTTAGGAATTTGGGTTAATATCCTTATAAATTGGGTCAGTAGAGATGTATTGGGTTTCATGTAAAATCAAATGCCAGTTTCCTTTACTTTTCCTATTGTACGTGTATCAAGTTATTTCTTGATATTGACACTGGTCCATTGAAGGTTTTATAGCCTACACACCATAGTAAAGTTCAGTTAAGCTGACAGCTTGGCTGAGTTCTATATATTGATGTATTAGATGTTCTTATATAAGATTATACAATTTGTATATACAAGTATATTGGTTGATGCAAGCAAACATTGTAGTAGTTTTTTGGAAAAACATAATTTTGGGTCCCTACACTTTTTTTTTTTCCAATGTTCCGTGTCCTTACACTTTTGTTTTCCAGTGTTCTGGGTCCCTATAACACTGCTTGTAGAGGGACCTAGAACACCGGAAAACAAAAGTATAGGGACTTAAAATACCACAAAAAAGTGCGGGGACCCAAAGTCATGTTTTCTCAAGTTTCTTTTTCCTGACTACAGAAAATGACAGGAGCAAAAGTGGATTTTTTTTCTCATCAAATGTGGCTGTTAAGGATCTTGTTAGTTGAATCTACTTGTTTTTGTGTCCATGGTAGAGTATTGGGGATCAAAAGGGCTATAAGCAATTCAATAATGTTCTTATGGGCTTTTTACGAAGAATTCTGGATGATAATAAGCGAGTGCAAGAGGCAGCTTGTTCAGCTTTTGCAACACTGGAAGAGGTTCTTGCTTTAATATCTTCATTTTTTTTAAATATTAGTATATACAAGTTTCAAATAAAAGTTTATGCATGACAGGAGGCTGCAGAAGAGTTGGCTCCGCACTTGGAAATTATACTAAAGCATCTAATGACTGCCTTTGGGAAATATCAGGTCATTTATGACCTCTAGCATTTAATTACAATGACAGTACAGAATTTTGCAGATGTTTCTTATCGAATGTGCCATGTCTGGATGAGTGCTAATTCTTAATTGTTAATTTGTTATTACATTGTGTTGTTTCCCAAGTCAGTCACAACTATGTGCAGACATCTCTGATTGTAATTTCTTGTTCCAAACATTAGAGACGAAATCTCAGAATTTTGTATGATGCTATTGGAACTCTAGCTGAAGCTGTTGGGCGACAGATAAATAAGGTATGTCTGTTTCTGATAATGATCTGATGTAGATCAACCCCCTTCCCCTACTGAAACTGATATTTTTCCTCCCAAGTCATTTGTTGGAATTTATAATCAATCCTTTAATTTGTTGCAAAGATGATTCTGTAACAAATGGATCCCTTCATATTGTGCAGCCGGTTTATCTTGATATTCTGATGCCACCATTAATTGAGAAGTGGCAGCAGCTTTCTGACGCAGACAAAGATCTCTTTCCATTGTTCGAATGCTTCACATCTATAGCACATGTATGCATCTTACCATTTTTTGAACGCTCTTTTCCATGTTATTTTAAATATGATTTCATTCGCTTAAAGCAGCTATTGTACCTGTACTTGTTTCAACTCACTGTTAAACTCGTTATTTCCAGAGATTTTCCGTGATCATTTCTCACAAGCATCAATATTTTGATCATAGCGAGTGGAAAATTAGATTATTGTACTGGAACATAAACGTAGACTCCCAAGCGGGTTTTTGTAGCACATCCAAGTCTTTAATTGCTTGAACAATCACTGACAACTATATCTTTGACCTGGTGTGCAATTCACATATTTTATCTTTTTCAGGCATTGGGTACTGGATTCTCTCCCTTTGCTGAGCCTGTATTTAGGAGGTGCATAAACATAGTCCAGAACCAGCAATTCACAAAGGTTCTGGCAACTTTGACTGATTTGATATATACAATGAATTTTTCATTTTATAACTTCTTATAAAACTTCACTTTTACATTTTGGTTGTTTATACTTCCTATTGCTTGTAATTCTATTTAATTCATTGCTGCTGCTGCTCCATGTTTTTGACTTAAGTTTTTCTGCCAAATTCAAATGTCACATTTGTTGGTAACCAGGGTAATTTACTTGCTTTCACCCAAAAAAATAGAAGTAATTCACTTGCTTTTGGCATCCTCTTAGAAGAGTGATGCTTTGATCTTTTTTATGATATTCCACATGAGACATAATTGGGAAATGAATACTGATACTGAAATGATATATCAGACACACCTAACTTCAAATTATAGTCTATTTCAGTTTACTGGCATGTTTATTGTTTATCAGAAGAGCTAGTTGTGGTTAATTAAACAGCTTAGTAATGCCAGAAAGTTCAATTATGACAAATATTTGTTTATGATTTAATTAATGCATCAGGACTACATCTGAATGCGGACCAATGAAATTTGTGAAGCCTCAATAATATTATGCATTATTAAAAAGCTTATTGTTTATGTCTGTGTTTGCCTATGTTTTGTTATTTTATTGTGGGAATATTATGTTATTATTGAGAATTATTAGCATTTATTAGGATCTCATTAATTAGGCTTTATTAGTATTTATTAGCTTTTATCTCTCTTGATGTATATATATAGGACCAGTGTGTACATTAGAATCGCAATGAGACAATACAATTTTTTCCTCTCTGAAAATTCCATATGGTATCAGAGCATCAGGCTCAAAATTTCAAATTAAATTAGTTCTGGAATGGCTAGAATGGGGCTGCCTGAACAGTACGTGACGGTGTTTGTGTGGACAATGGTGGAGCGAGTTTTGAATCTCACCGCCACCCTAGACGTACTCAGGAGGCTCCGAACGGCGAAACCCAGGGCGGCGGCGGCGAATGGCGGCGCGTGTAGACCACACGCGCCACCCCTGCTCACTGCGTCAGTAAGCTTTCGGCGGCGCGTGGAGGCTCCGTTCAGGACGCGATCTTCTCGGACGGCAACGACGCACTCTCTCCGGCAAGATCCAGCACAATCCGGTGTATGGGCACATCGTTTTCGAACCATATCAGGTCGTATGGTGTTGTTAGTGCCCTGTTTTGCTGGATTTGGAGTTATATTGGGTTGTGGCTTCTGTTTTCAGTCTACCAGAAAGCTTTTCCCTCATTTGAAGTGCTAGGGGTGGTGCTGTGGCTACTTTTATGTAGTGTTGTGCATAATTCCAGATCTGCACCCGTGGCATTTGTGGCAAAAAGAGGGTCTTTCCTTCAGGCTTTAAAGATGACTCGAAGTGCAGTGGTCTGGATCATGGATTCCGGGGCATCTGATCATATGACTAATTGTCATCAATTGTTCACCACTTACACCCCATGTGCTGGAAATATTAAAGTGAAAATTGCAGACGGCTCCTTAGCACCGGTGGCAAGAAAAGGGAGTATCTGTATATCAGATTCTATTACTTTGGAATCTGTCTTTCACGTGCCAAAACTTGACTGTAATTTACTTTCAATCAATCAACTGACCAGGCACTCAAATTGTTTGCTAAATTTCTCCCGTCACATTGTGTGTTTCAGGATCTATCATCTGGTGCGACAATCGGCAATGCCAAAGAATATGAGGGGCTCTACTATTTAGAGGTCATCACTCGAGTAGATAACCCACCTATTGTTGGTAATTCTGCATCTACCTCTAAAGTTCATGATTTTATGTTATGGCATAAGAGAATGGGTCATCCCAATTTTCATTACCTTCAGCGGTTGTTTCCAAACTTATGCCCGACCTTGAATCATAGTGAAATCTAGTGTGAGGTATGTGAACTTGCCAAACACCATCGAACTTCCTTTCCTAGAGCCAAATACACACCTACCAAACCTTTCACAACCATCCACAGTGATTTGTGGGGACCATCTCGCACTTCAAACCGTACTCAAACAAAATGGTTCATCTCCTTCATTGATGACCACACTCGTGTTTGTTGGGTTTACCTTTTGAAAAACAAGTCAGAGGCTGCATCCACATTCATGAGTTTTTTCACCATGATCAAAAACCAATTCAACACTAGCATTCAAGTTTTACACACCGATAATGGCACTGAATACTTCAACCAATCTTTGAGTAATTTTCTCCAAATGCATGGGATTATCCATACCAGTACGTGTGCCCATACACCCCAACAAAATGGGGTTGCAGAAAGAAAAAATAGACATATCCTTGAAGTTGCAAGAGCACTCATGTTCACTTGCAACGTGCCAAAGTTTTATTGGGGAGATGCCATTTTAACCGCAACCTATCTCATCAACCGGATGCCCAGTCGAATATTAGCCTTCGAAACCCCTCTCCAAAATTGCAGAGTGTTTTTCCTACATCCCACATTGAAACCAAACTTCCGCTTCGTGTGTTTGGGTGCACAACCTTTGTTCATATCCACCAAAGTAGTAAACTTGAACCTCGAGCTATCAAGTGTATCTTCCTTGGCTATTCTCCTACTCAAAGAGGATATAAGTGCTTTGATCCTGTTTCTAAACGCATCCTTGTAAGCCTTGATATTACTTTCCATGAAGAAACTCCTTTTTATTCCAATTCCTCAATTCAGGGGGAGAATATAGGTGAATCTTAGACTTGGGAACTAGAACCTAACGCTGAATATATACTTCTTGAGTCCGTGTCTCCTTTACTAGAACCATCACCCTTACCTTTGTCCAACATCCCACCTTCACCAACCTCTTCTCTTATGCCAAAGTTTGAGGAAAACAAGAAAACAAAGAAAGATGTGGAAAGACCACAAAAGGGGGAGTTGTTAGTTTACACTCGAAAGAAGAAAACAAAAGATAGTGAGCAACTTGCACCTGAGGCACCAAGAGAGTCAGAACCAGAGGTAGTCCCTGAAGCTGACGTACCAAAGATTGATCCATCTAGTAAGCCAGATGACTTAGAACAAAGATGTGAATCTACTGATCTTGATCTACCTATTGCCCTTCGGAAACAACCTCGGTCTTGTACTTTGCATCCGATTCAGAAGCATGTGTCCTACAAGGCTCTCTCTCCTGGTTACCGAGCCTTCATCACTAATTTGGATAAAGTTGTTATTCCTAACAACATCCAAGAAGCATTGGAAATACCAGAATGGAGAAATGCAGTTATGGAGGAAATGAAAGCTTTGGAGAAAAATGAAACATGGGAGATTGTTGAAGACCTAGAGGTAAGAAACTAGTTAGTTGCAAGTGGGTCTTTACCCCAAAGTATAAGGCTGATGGCACACTTGACAAGTTGAAAGCACGGTTAGTAGCAAGAGGTTTCACCCAGACTTATGGCATAGACTGCAAAGAGACGTTTGCGCCAGTGGCAAAACTGAACACTATAAGAATCTTATTGTCAGTGGCAGCCAACCTTGAATGGCATCTTCATCAACTAGATATCAAAAATGCTTGTCTAAATGGAGAATTGAAGGAAGAAGTCTGCATGACTTTACCTCCTGGGTTTGATAGAGGCAGAAATGACAAAGTATGTCGGCTGAAAAAATCACTGTATGGCTTGAAACAGTCACCTAGGGCATGGTTTGACAGATTCTCAAAGGTCCTGAAGTTAGAAGGCTACAAGCAAGGATTGTCAGATCATACGATGTTTGTTAAGGCTGAGGGAGCTAAGAAGTGCATCCTCATTGTGTACGTTGATGATATAATCCTTACAAGAGATCATGTTGATGAAATAGCAAGGATAAAAACTATCCTTAGTAAGGAATTTGAAGTTAAGGATCTTGGGAACTTGAAATATTTTCTTGGGATGGAAGTTGCTAGGTCAAAACGAGGAATATATGTATCTCAGAGGAAGTATATACTTGATCTTCTCAAGGAAACTGGGATGTTGGGTTGTAAACCTAAGGAAACTCCTATTGTGGTCTCGAAACAGAAGAGGCCACCTAAGAAAAGCGGCACTGAGGAGTTAGAAGGAGAAGACAACTCTGATAATGAAGTTGAAGAAGAAGAAGACAAGGAGAAAGAAGAAACCATTGATAAAGACAGATATCAAAGACTGGTTGGGAAGCTGATTTATTTATCCCATACGAGGCCAGATATTGCTTTTGCTGTCAGTGTAGTAAGTCAATACATGTGTGATCCAAGGAAGAGACACCTGGAAGCTGTATATAGGATTCTCAGATACCTTAAGGGTACACCTGGTAAGGGATTGTTATTCAAGAAGCATGATCAAAGGACAATTGAGATTTACACCGATGCAGACTGGGGGGGGACTTATGGAGACAGGAGATCCACCTCTGGCTATTGTTCATTTGTGTGGGGAAACTTAGTAACCTGGAAAAGTCAAAAGCAAAAAGTTGTATCCAGAAGCAGTGCTGAATCAGAATTGAGAGCATTAGCTCAAGGAATTACCGAAGAACTATGGATAAGAAGGGTCATGGAAGAAATAGAAGTCAGAGTTGATCCACCAATGAAATTGTATTGTGATAATAAGGCTGCTATAAGCATGGCATTGAATCCTGTACAGCATGAGAGATCTAAACATGTTGAAGTGGATAGACATTTTATCAGAGAGAAAGTAGAAGGAGGTATTGTATGTCTGACATACCTACCTACAAAGTTACAAGCTGCGGATGTACTAACCAAGGGACTACCCAAGCCTGCATTTGAGAGTTGTATAAGCAAGTTGGACATGATTAGCATCTATGATCCAACTTGAGGGGGAGTGTGGGAATATTATGTTATTATTGAGAATTATTAGCATTTATTAGGATCTCATTAATTAGGCTTTATTAGTATTTATTAGCTTTTATCTCTCTTGATGTATATATATAGGACCAGTGTGTACATTAGAATCGCAATGAGACAATACAATTTTTTCCTCTCTGAAAATTCCACATTTATATATTCTTATTTTGAAATATTCATATGTGAAACCAAGATTTCATTTCCTTTTTTAGTTAAAAAAATCATATTTTCCTTTCTGAGTTGCAGCTTGCTTTTTGAAATTTCTGATATACAGTTTGTTAGCAGTTGGAATTGAACTTAAGAATTTATTTTTTATTTAAATAAGTTAACTGGTGCATGCGTGCATGTGTCTTCATTTCAGGTTGATCCAGTTAAAGCTGGGGTTCAGTATGACAAGGAATTTGTTGTATGCTCTCTTGATCTGCTTTCTGGACTAGCAGAGGGTCTTGGCATTGGAATAGAGAGTTTGGTACTCCACCAAAATTTTATTTTCAAGATATGAGATTACGCTTTTATGTTATTTAATGTCTTTTTCCTCTTACATGCTATTGTCATTTGTATCATAAAAATGAAGCTTCGTGTGAATAATTAAACCAGCATTTGCATACACGCTTGACGTTGCCTGTATATTTATTCCACAGGTTTCACAAAGTTCTTTGAATGACCTTCTTCTGCGTTGTTGTGTGGATGATGCACATGATATTCGACAAAGTGCCTTTGCTTTACTTGGAGACCTTGCAAGAGTAAGCTGAATGCATAGCACCTTTTTTGGTCCTAAACGGAGATATGCATTCATAGTATTAAGCATTTACATCGTCTAAAGAAGTATCAATAGTGGAATCATGATGCACGAGTCTGGCATGCACAACCTCATTATATTATAACTTCCTTTTTTCTAATTTGACTAGGTGTGCTCAATTTACTTGCGCACTCATTTGTCTCAGTTCATTGAGGCTGCAACCAAGCAACTGGTATGTGTCTCAGGTGGAAGTTATAGGCTTAGCGTTTTGTTTATGTAATCGTTTTGTTGACACAAGGTGCGTGCTGTATAGGAAACTTCTAAGATAAAGGAAGCTATTTCAGTAGCAAATAACGCGTGCTGGGCTATTGGAGAATTAGCAGTTAAGGTGGGTTAATGCCAAATGCTATAATTTTGATCCAACTAGATAGAACTCTGGGAACTGTTGTCTGGTTGGCATTGCTGGACTCTGGGTTCAAATATGCTTTGCAGTGTATCATGTGTTAATCTGTTGCTAGTTATGTCATTGGTTTAATCTCTCGTTTATGTCTTCTATATATTAAAAAGGGAAAACAAGAGCAATGGAATAAAAAATTGTCAATTTTCTTGGTCATTGCTGAGGTGTTCTTTTCTAGAGAGCCTGTGATGGGGCAGATGAATGAGCGAAGATGATAAAAATGCTGAATTTGATAATGAAGACCTAGATGGATACTACGTTAGTTTCAAAAGCATTGCTAACCAACAATGGGAACTGTGAGTTTGCATCTCAGACCTTTATTTGCTTAAAACTGTCAAAATTTTGTGTTGTTAGGTGAAGGGTCAAAATCGTTTTGATACTATGAATACACCCCTTCGGGATTGAAGTATTGACAAAGCACACTTCTGATTGTAGTGAAATTAAATTAAAAAATTAGAACATTGAGGTGACAAGGATCTAAGTCCTCACCAATTGGGCATGAAATGTTTGATTCTATGTGAAGGAACATTTTATCCCAAAAGCTTAATCTGATTGGCAAAGCCTAGGGTTAACTTTTATTATTATCTCTAACAGATGGATTGCACTTGATTTAAACCTGGTTATCTTGAATGTTATGTTGTCTTGAATATAGTTTTCTCTAACCTGCTTCTTATGAATATTGTCTTACTTATCTGTTGGCTGTGCCTTCCTGCTTCCTCTTTACGGCCTTATCATTCTTCTTCCAAAACTAAGTTATGCAATTTTTGGTTCTGGGGACTAATTCATTTATTTATTGAAATTTCCTATTTAGATTGTGAAAATTATTTTGAGCAAGTTTTCAATAGATTGTGTAGATGCATTTTTCATCCTTTTACAGATTTATAGATCTATTGATTATGGATTTTATTTTTGTTCAAATGAAGAATATTAAAGTTTCATTCATTTAAGAATATCTGTGTTATTTGATAAAGGGCAAGTTTTCTAAAGGGCATGTTATTTGATATCATCTCTTTGATTAAAGTCTTCGGGATGTCCGTTTACTAACAAAGAAATGTCTTCTGGATGTCCCTGCATGTTGAATTTTGTTCTGCATCCTAACTTTAGAGTTCATTCATTTAACACGGGCTTGCAGCCTAGAATTTGAAATGACCAGTTAAGCCTCGTCAGGTAGTCTCCAGCATGGGGGAATGGTTCAATGCTTTTATATTTATATCGGCTTTGAAGTTTCATTTTCCCTTTTCTATTTAATGTGTTTGTTATTCTTGTTTCTGATATACCAATATCAAGAGCAAATGGCTGCAGGATTTAACTATGCAGTTGGAATAACATGTTATGAATTTCAGGTTCGCCAAGAAATATCTCCCTTTGTTTTGACTATTTTTTCATGCTTGCTCCCGATTCTTCAGCATTCAGAGGTTGTTGTCTCGTCTCTTTCTTAAATTATAATTTTGTCATGTTTCGTTTCTGATTGTCAAGCTATTTCATCAGGGACTACATAAGTCACTCGTCGAAAACAGTGCAATAACGCTGGGAAGGCTTTCATGGGTCTGCCCAGAGCTGCTATCACCGCATATGGAGCATTTCATGCAATCTTGGTGCACAGCTTTGTCAATGTAAGTTAATGATCATTACACATTCAGCTGAATAATGCACGCTAATTATTGTTGAAGTCTATGATGCATGACAAATGTTTTGCAAATAGTTGATGCTATTATTGTTGAAATCTGTGGCTCTGGCTCTTTTCTTCTTTCCTTCCGTTGAGAAACCCAACAAAACGGAACCCCTGAAGGGTTAGGAGTTCAGTGCCACTGCCGCCACCATCTAGGAGTCTGAGAGTATATTATTGTCATTGGTCTTATAGTTATCTCTTATCATCATCTTTTGGAGCTTGTATTTTTCATTCAAGAAGCAGGAATAGGAATTAAACCCTTGAATGAAACGTGTGTTTAAAAAAGCAAAGTCAAGAAATGGAGAGGGAGAAAATGGACAGAGAACGAACTTAATGAAAGAGGTGGATGAGGATACCTCAGAGGCTGAGAGAGCTGAAGTTCTAAGAAGCCAAGCAGGCAGACAGCGACTGAGTATTGATGAGTTTAAATTAGGCTTCCTTTTATATAGCTTGCTCTGGGGTGTGCTATTTGGTGTTTCATAGTGTTTTGGCAGATGTAGAGCTCTTCAGTGCAGTGCACTAACTGAAACTTGGAATGCTACAGCTGTGGTTCCGCACCATCAACCACGAACCACATGGCTAGCTGTTTGCATATTTGAGACTCTCTTGCAGGAACATATTGATGAGGATAATCTTTCTCTTGACATGTCTTTACTTTATGAATTAAGGATGGCCTTGGATGTTTTTGATTGCATTGCCAAGTTTTGATTCCTCTTAAATTATCTGTGGCAGGATACGTGATGATATAGAGAAAGAGGATGCTTTTAGAGGCCTGTGTGCTATGGTGTGTACCTTTTTACCTTGTCAAATGTTGTATTTAGGCTGCTTATGTAATTGTTTCATTTCGTTTGTTTTCAGGTCAGAACAAATCCTTCTGGAGCTCTAAGTTCGTTTGCTTATATGTGCGAAGCTATTGCAAGTTGGCATGTACGTGCGCTTTGACCGTCATATTAGAATTACAGTGCTTTGAGTTTTCTTTAATAAAAAGTTCATTTACTTCTATCTATAGGAAGTACGAAGTGAAGATTTACGCATTGAACTAGGCCAGATCTTACAAGGATATAAACAGGTAATAATGGCTCGTCTACCAGGGACGCATCTACCTTGAGAAATTACGCGGTTGAACTTATAGCTTCCTTTTTTTGTCATGAATTGAAAACAGAGGGTATCGCTTTCAAGTGTCTCTTATTATATAAAATTTCTGTTTAGCAATGCGTTTCTTTTCAATTCCCTATTTAACTAGAAAGTTCTATATCCATCTTGTATGGTAGATGCTAGGCAATGGAGCTTGGGACCAGTCACGTCTGCTTTGGAACCCACAGTAAAAGAATCGCTTTCAAAATATCAAGTATAAGACAACTGTACTGTATTTAGTGTCGCAGAATGACCCGAGTTTGCAGAGCTTGTGAGCCTCATCTGGATCGGCCTTATTTGGTCATTTTTTGCATTTTCCAGCAAAATTGGAGTCCTGGCTTACTCTTGGCAGTGCCCAGAGTTGGTCCGGGTTTTCATCGAGAATTATCATCAAAACTCATCCTATTCAATTGGTCTTTGATGGGTACATGATGTGCCTCAAGTCTTAGATCTCAGTTGATGTTCTTTCCCATGAGAAAGTCTTCTGTTTAGGGTTGGCTTGTAATATGAATTAGTGAACGGGGGAGAGGCATGTAAGAGTTGCCGGGTATTTCATTCTTTGCTGTCCGTACACTGATGCTTAGATTTTAATTCGAGCTCCTTGTTCATCATTGCATTTTCCAATATTTTAGCCATTTAAGTTGACACTGACAGGTTCCCCGGTTTTTTTTTTTTTTTTGGGGTGGGGATGTTCCAGACTGATGTTTTATACAATTGTTCTGGTCTCGTAATATTTGTTTATTCATTATTTTTCCGGATGGAGATATTTTTAGATTTTACCTGGATTGAGTCATTTCTATGGGCAAGAAGGTGAAGCATATATTTCAAAATGCCATTGTTGTGAAGTTTTGAAAACCTCTTCGAGGTTATTGTTTGGAATGCTCTATAAAATTGCCAATGCCTGACCAAAAAAGAAAAAAAAGAAAAAGAAACATTTCGGAAAATATATTTGTAAGTTATTTATGCTGGTACCATAAATTATGGGATTTGGATTCGATGGTTGTATTTAATACAGGTGTTAAATGCATGTAGTATTTAAATCACTGAAATTTAAATCGACGACTCTGAATTTATATCTCACTTAAGATTAATAAATTAGTGATTTTATTTGAATTGTTAATTTAGATTTTTAATGATTTAGATGCTACAGGCACTTATTGTTTGTAATCCAGATCTTACAATATGTTGACATAGATCACCACAAGTTCATTTTCATTGTGTATTATTCACAAGTGCCTTTGTCAAATTTCTCGAATATTTTGGTTAATCAAATAAAGTTAACTGCTTCAACGGCAATTTTATATCCTTTGGTTTTCTCAACAGTCTTGAGCAAAAATTTCTCTCACCAAGATGGTAAAAATTTCTTGCCCAATTATCACATCTACACAGACACATCTGTCATAAACAGATGTTTATATAAAGATATTTTTTTAGTAGCCGACATATGATGAATAATTAGAAACAAGTTTTCAATTGGAGACACAGATACAAGGTCGGGGGCTAATGAACTGGTTCTGGGTTGCTAGCAATTCAATTTTTTCCCATCTCTGCTTTCTCTTGATATCTTCTTCATGTGCAACTAATTCTATAGCTTTCAGGTCCTGGAGACTCCTTGAATAAAGAACGGGGTCCATATCTTCAAGCATTACCTTAACACTTACTGTTAATTGTCGAACGTTTTTGCTCCAATGCCACTTGAGGTTCTTCTCGATCCCTTCTACTATCACCGGAAACACTTCCCCCATTGCCGTTGACACCATTTTCACAAATTGCTCGTTGTTCCATACATACAGAGCACGTTCTGCTACCTAAAATGCACGCAAGTTGGAGATAATATAAGGAAAACATCATGCAATAAGACATTTTGCATTTTCCCGTATTGGGCATGGAAATGGAAGCTTGGCTTACCAACAACATGTACTTCTCTAAGGCCTAGCAAGTTTTGATTAAACAGAACTGGATATAGCAACTGGAGAATTTACCTGAGAATTCCAGCTGTTGATGCATTTAATGATCTGTGCGCACAAGGGCAAAGCCAGCTTTCTATACTGATCAGGGTCCAGATTGTCCACCAGATCTTCCAATTCTCCGATCAGCAGGAGCTCTTTCTGGCAATTTGTAACAGGCCAATATTTCAAGAGTCCTCTAACCACAACCCCTCCTAGCATCGGCTCCTTCTGCACAAACTGCACCATGCAGTAAGCCAATTGCCTGTGGTACATCTGTACCCCCTTGGGCTTGTGCAGAGGAATCAGCACTCTCATCAGAAACAACTTGTGCTCATCCTTCAGTGGCACAGTAAACCCATTAATTATTGTTCCCCATATCTCAAGCAGCTCTCCAATCCCACAATTCTTCTGCGTCTCAAACACGTAGTTCAACAGCACATCGTTCATGGATTTCCTCATAAAGGAACGTTCACTGGTGAGTTTCGTATACATCTTGTGGTACACGTTTTTCAAGTTTTCGCGTTCTCTCCTATCTTCAGAATGGAATAGTGTCAATAGCTTAAGAAGAAAAGAGCGATCTATATGGTTTCTTAGTACGTTGAGTTCTGTGGTGGTGACAAGTCTTAGAAGGATTTCGTATACGATTTGGAGGTGTGACCACGCGGGTGTAAAGGCAGAGGCGGGGTCATCTTCTTCGGGGAAGTCGGACGTGCAAGAAGAAGGCAGTGGACGGAAGAGATTCAGAGACACCATGGAAAGCAGAGGGGAGATGAATTTCTCAGGGAGGGGCTTCTTGGAGGACTTGATGATGGTGAGGAGGCGGGTGAGATGGAGGCGCTTGAAGTCTTGCTGTGATGGAGATTCTGAGGGGTCAGTGAAGGTGAAGACGAAATTGCAGTAGGAGATGACAGAGAGGATTTCTTCGTCTCCCGGAGAGCAAGAAGACGCGATGATGCCATTATTGGGGAAGACAACGTTGTCTTGCTCGAACAGGTTCTGGAGGGAGGCTAATGTTTTGTGGCTGCCCATGTTCTCTCCTCCTTCTCTGCCTTCTTCTGCAGATTTAGGTAGAGTTTACTCAAATGCTCGTGTTTTTGCCTTTCTGGTTATATCTAGATATCTTCTTCCAGCTTGTGTGCCTTGTTCGGGTTATTTGAGCAACACAGCGATGTTACATGCAAAAGAAGACCTCGAAGTGTCCGACGGATTGGAGCATATAAAAAGCAAGATTTTGACAGGGTATTCTTCTGCCTTTCTGCCACGTAATATTTTATCCCCGCTTATTTTAGTTTTTAGTCCCAAATATATTATATATGCATCCTATCTCATTCCACATCTCTATCCACAATCAAATTGTTGAATTGAGGTGGCACTAACAAAAAGAAGTTTAAACGTTAAATTGAGTCAAACTCTTAAACCAGGCGTGGTTTTCATTTGTTGATGTGTTTATATAAACAACACTGCCTATTACAAAGGTAGGTATTCGTTCATGAAATGATTTTTCCTAGTGCCCTCCAAAACTCTGATGTAATTTATCGAATATCCCCTCTCATGTGGTTGCTAAGAGAAAATTATTGGTTAAAATAAACACAGAAAAGTGTGTTGTGTTGAAGGCAAGATGAAAGAGTTGTTGTCAAAAGAAATGTAATGTCTGTTTCATCAAAAAAGACAAACGATTGACCTTGTCGTGATGAAACCACGAACAGATATCAGGAAAAGTTTTAAATCTAAAGTCTTGAAGTTTCAAATAATTACAAAGGTCCACTCTTGATTGTTCTCTTGTTTGGCTTATCTGTCGCGGATGGATGCTTCAACTTATTTGTTTGGATTCGTTTAGAATCAGATCCGGAACAATATTATCAGAAGTGGTCTCAACTCTCAATATTAAATATTTTACGTAGAAAATAAACAATGGAAATCAGGGGTCCAAGTTCCGCGTATGATTCCAAAAAAAGAGAATTTGAGCGTTCCAAATCGCTCTTAATATATAGGAATAATTCAGAGTTACTTGATACCTTCGAACACTCGGTATATTAAACTCTTCACTGTTTTGACATTTTCAGAGATGGCCAATATCTTGTTAAAAACTAAAAGGTGCATGCGCATATATGACACAAACAATGCCTTTGTTTAAAAGCAGACATTCGTCAAAAATAACAAAGTAATTGAAACTAACGAGATATTGTTAAGTCATCATGCAGATATAAAGTGGCCGGATATTCACATGATTAGGCGCTATTTATATAAGTATCCAAGAATTTAGATGGCTTCTTTGTAGAACCTCTAAGATAAATATGGTTTCTCCCTCGTCGGCACCAAATGCTTACAAGTTTCCGTATAACTCAAGGACACGACCCTGAACTCATTCATTCTTCGTTAATGCTGAAGTAGAAAATATCATAACGTTAACGTACAACTCATGATGACACTGTGAACTTGGTGTCGTGCACCTGGAAGGTCGGAATTGACAGTGAATCTGAGCCTATCATCGCCTAGACTTTGAAAGTCGCAAGACATAAAACTACAAAAACGACTAGTGTTGGAGGAATACTCATCAAGGTTGCCCCAGTTTTCCCGACAGGGACCTTGAAAGGCCGACACAGATGTGGGTATTTCATCCTCAATTTCACAAATGCTATGAATTCCATGATCATCCCAAAGCAGTACAAGAAGTTTTATTCAGCAACTATCTCTTGGAAGCTCAGCCACGAAAGCAAAATCACGCCAGATGCAGAGAACAAAATGCCCATAACAGGTGTCCCATGACGGGACCTCTTGGCAAAAAACTCAGCTGCTCTGCTATCCCCAGAAGTCGGAAGGAGTCGCAGCTCATCTCAGCCACCAACATTCCCATGTTTGATAAAGCAGATGCTGTTTGAAGTTTGAACCCATAATATTAACCACACTCCTCCGAGGATTCTAGACACTTCTGATAAGTAGCCATCAGACCAGTGCTTACGATCAACTGGAATTGCTCCTGTGCCTGTTAGGGGAGGGAAGAAATACCCAAACACAACTAAAATTAGGGCATAGAAAAGTGCTCTTGGGAGGGTTTTACAAGGATCATCTGCTTTCGCTGCTCATCCCGTAAATGTACTAATTGAGTCCCAGTAGTTTAGATTTCAGAACAGAGTGTTCAAATAAAAAACCCAAGTCATTCGGTTTAAATCCACCATGACCCATCTAGACGTTGAGTCTGGGAATTGCAATGAATCCCATAACGACGAAAGGAAGTAGGGAAAAGATTCCTAGAAACATAGCACAACCCATCCCACTATGGTTAGATCCCTACAGTTCATGTAAGTGAGAGCAAGAGCTAGAGCCAGAGCTGCTATTGACCTAGGAAATCCGCCTGATAAAGCTGGGATAGATGACTTTGAGGTAATCTAAGAATAAGACTGGGTATAAGGCGTTATCGATGACCCCGCTTAGCTATTTCATCCAACCTTCTTGAAAACCCCAGAAAGGACCCAACGCAGAGGAAACCCAGACCACATAGCCTCCATTCTCAGGGAACATAGTACCCATTTCTGCAGTGATGAGTGCCTCTGGAATGCTCCGTACGAATGGGAAAATCAAGAAGCCGAGAAGAGCCAGGAGCGGACCGGCTGCCCTCACGCTGTCTTCGATTCCAAAGGGCCCACCTGAGACCTCGTAAAAGATCAAGAAAATCAGAGGTATAATCGGAAGCCTCTGGAACTTCTCTAGATACGGAGGAGAACCTCCATTCAGACCTTGGTATTCTGCGACATTGGGCTCCATGTCAGCCGACTTTTGCGTGGTTCTTACTTCTTATTTCAGTTGCTGCAATGCAATATCCAGTTGGTATAGCACATTTGGATCTTAATACATGAGAGTCTTTATAGCAACTATAATGAGATACCAACCAATTGGTTGTACCAGATAGAGGTCGTTCTCGTATTAGAAATGGATGGCTCGATAGAAAGAGCATAACCTCAAAGCTCAAAACGGTTCGTCTCAGGAAAAACGAAGCATGAGAAAAATTCCAACTCGTTCGAGGGTTCATTACTGCCGAAGTTGAGCAGAAGGGAAATGCAAGTTATAAAATGTCATCCAGGAAGAAAGAGTTCTAAATAACGAGGTGTCAAGATGCCAAGAAGCGATGGCCTGAGTAAGGCAACACGCGCCCGCTTCAGAGTAAGTTTGAGAATCCATTTTGCGGAACTCACGCACCGAAATCGCAGACTGTTGTGTAAGAATTTCAGCTTTCATTTTAATCAAATTTTGCCTGCCATAAACAATACTTGAGTTAAAGCTAGCTTGGGAGACTGGAAACCGAAAGCTGATTCCAGAATCAGATTCTTCCGAGTCTAATGCGCTGTTGACCTCTTGCATGTCACCCTGAATGTGACATTATTTCTAAAGCCAGAGTAATTCGGACTTCTGAGCAAGGTCCAGGTAGGCTCAGGAACAATTTGGTGAAATTCATTCTTGCACTGCCATGTGTCCAACACACAAAATAGAATAATTTGCCCCAATATTCTTGATGACCTGATCTTCCACTCAAGCATATGACCCAAAAATAAACCAAAAAACAGCAAAGGAAGAGGAAAAGAAAAGGCTCCTTGAGAACAAGGAGGGAAGAAAGAGCAAAGTTGCATGTGAATATGTGATAGTGTTGGAAACCCAGAACAAATTGAACAAAATAATTTTATTTATGATCTGAAATTTTGATTGAATCCAATAGTTGGGCAAAGCCACCTAGACCGGCTTAAATAGCCCAAAAGCAATACAAGAAAATTAAAAAATGAAAACTAAACAAAAACCATCCTGAAATACACAAATCAGGCTCATTTAGTCACAAACAAAACAGGCCCAAAACAATAAACCCAATACAGCCTTTTTTTTAAATAGATGGTGCTCTTTTTCTTTAGTTAGGGCAAGTAAAGAAAAGGAAAATATGATATCAGTAGACTAGGGAGTAACAGAGAACTTTAACGTTGGCTTGAAATTAACGTTAACAAATTCAGAAATTCTTATGTTATGTGCCTCTCCTAATTGTACAGATCTTGGTTTGATGACTGATTTTGCAGATAATCTGATGGTTCGTATCATGATTTGATGGGTAGAGTATCCGATTCCTCGTCAGACTACCATCACCTTCCAACAATAGTAAGTCCATAAAATTCTGCACAAGACAAATCCTCAGGAAGGTTCCTTTCCTTTGTCTTTACACATCTCCATTATTTGCATTTTCCTTGTCCATCCGGAAACTGCAACTATCACTTTCACTCCCAAAATGATTCATCAATTTCCACCCCTTTCCATATGTAAGACGGAAGGTTTTACCATTATTATTTTTTATATTTTATTTCATCCTCTCGTAGATGTAGGAGCTAATTAAAAAACTTTCTGTTTTAGTTTAAATGTAAGACTCCAATCTACTTAACTTCTAAATCATTTAAAAACATGTTCTAACATAACAAAATATGATTTTCTTAAAGGTTGGGGTCATTTTTACTCTTTAGCTTTACTCGAAAAGTCACTGAAAATCATAAACTTAATTATAAGTCAATTCTATCTTTTAATTTTAAATATTTCTTCCCTTTTTATCCTACTATTTTCTCATTATTAGTTAACCATTAGTAGGCTTCACAATACTTTTTTTTATATTTTTATTATAAAATATTTGAGTTAATAATGCCTATTGACCCTTCAAATAAAAATTGAGAGGCAAAAATAATCCGTAACTCAATAAAAATATTAAAAAATAGTGAGACCCACTAATAATTAATAAACGTTAAATGTTTTTAACGTCAGGATGATGAATGAGAGAATTTTTCATGTTAAGAAATAAAATTGACTATAATTAAGTTTAAGATTGCTAGTGATCTTTAAATAAAAATGAGTGGCAAAAACTCTTGAACCATTTTCTTAAATCATTCAATTTAGAATAGAGAAAAGATTGAAATCACTTTGAAAAATAAAGTTAGATACTCTTGGACTATCGTTACAAGCGAAACACACAAGAAAAATAGCAAAAAATAATGGGGCATGTTTGGTTTTTATTTTCAAAAATTGTTTTTTGTTTAAAGTTGAGAGGCAAAAATAATCCGTAACTCAATAAAAATATTAAAAAATAGTGAGACCCACTAATAATTAATAAACGTTAAATGTTTTTAACGTCAGGGTGATGAATGAGAGAATTTTTCATGTTAAGAAATAAAATTGACTATAATTAAGTTTAAGATTGCTAGTGATCTTTAAATAAAAATGAGTGGCAAAAACTCTTGAACCATTTTCTTAAATCATTCAATTTAGAATAGAGAAAAGATTGAAATCACTTTGAAAAATAAAGTTAGATACTCTTGGACTATCGTTACAAGCGAAACACACAAGAAAAATAGCAAAAAATAATGGGGCATGTTTGGTTTTTATTTTCAAAAATTGTTTTTTGTTTTTTAAAACAAAATAATTAAAAAAGCTTGTTCAGACAAATGTTTTGAATTTTTTTTTTTAGAATTGTTCTCATTTTCTTTTTAAAAAAATGGAAACATCTCAAGGTTATTTTCATTTAAAACAAAACACACTATATTTGATTATTAAAAAATATAATTAGCTTGATAAATTTTTATTATAAATCACCACTATTAATCACCTGCAATAATTATTATTAGTGTATTTTTTAATTTTCAAATTAACATAATCAAATGGGCTTTCTTGTTGTTTTATTTTAAAAAAATATAAAAACTATATTATAAAATAATTTTAAAAAACAAGAAATGAGAACGAAACCAAACAAGTCCAAAGCCTTGTTTAGTTTTTGTTTTTAAAAATATTTTTTATTTTCAAAACAAAAAAAACTTGTTTGAATAAATATTTTGAATTTATTTTTTTCAAAATTGTTCTCATTTTTTATTTTTTAAAAGAAAAAAATAGAAATATCTTAAAGCTATTTTTATTTTATTTTTTATTTTTAAAATACATTACATTTTATTATTAAAAATTTTAATTACCTTAATCAATCATTATCATATAACAATGGCAGAGCCACATTTCGGTGAAGATGCGCAAATGCACTCCTTCACTTTGGGACAAATTACAAGTTAAATATATAAATTTTACAACTTTACACCATATGAACTTAATAAAAAATATTTAGGCTAAAAAAATTATTATATATGTAATATTTTAATGATTAAGATAAGATATAAAGAATATATTTATATAAAATATCATATTAGCATGTCAAATGTAATTTTCTAAAGAGAAAAATAAAAATCAATCTACTTAAGTTATTAGAATTTTAGCCCTAATGTAATTATTATTTTTAAAAAATTATTACCTTTTAAATTAAATGATCTTGCACATTCTAACTCTTGGCTCCAACATTACATAATAACTCATAAGCCATTGTTTCAATCATTTGTGACCATCATTGTCAGTCAATTTTTAAATTTTAAAATTATTTTCAAATTAACACAACCAAGCATATTTTCCTTTTGTTTTGTTTTTAAAAAATAATTTTAAAAATTTCATTGCAAAACAATTTTTAAAAACAAAAAATAAGAATACAAACAAACAGGCCCTTAGTTTTTAATTGTGTTGGGTGCAACTTCAACATTCATAACTCAATAGCCTATGAAAAACAATATTTTCAAAGTTCTAAAATCATCAAAATCAAGAGTATTCATGTTAACTTAACTAATTTCCTTAATCTATGTAAATTAGTTATCTAGCTTTTAGATTTACAACCAGATAGACTGATAGAGTATTATTACTATTTTCCAGCTAAATGAGATGTTTATATTTATGTCTAAAATTATTTTTCCTTACCAAAGAAAGCATAAATGGTAGTTAATATATATCGGGCTTGGAATTACAGATTTGAAGTAACGAAAATATTTGAAAAATTAAAATTAAAACAACTAAATTAAAAAAAAACTTAATTAGTGTGCAAATTAGTTTATAATTTCAGAAATACACACACACGCACATGTTTATCTCAACTATATATTCTAACAATATATTTGAATTTGGTGATTATAGTTAATACAGACACTAAGTGCCTATATCATTTGTTGTAAAAAAAAAAATTTCAAGTTTGATATTATTTTTCATATAAACGAAAATGGATAGATGCAAGATTAATATTGTATTATATATTTTTTCATTTAAAACAAAAAATGACTATAATTTAGGGTGCGTTTGGTTTTCCTCCGTTTCACCTTCAGAAAGCAAAATTTTACTTTCAAAAAGTTGAAAGTTGTTTGGGTAAAATATTTGGCAGAAAAGCACATCCTGAAAGTACATTCAAACGGTAGCTGAAAGTGGATTTCTGAAACGTAACTGTCTGAAGCTTTTGAAAAGTGAATTTGAAAAGTAGGATGTTATTTGACCATACTACCCTAAGTTTAATCTCTTATTTTTTATTTAAAAAATAGTTAATTCATTAAAAATATAATTATTATTTTAATAATAATAATTAGGTATCAATTTTTTTAGTATTATAAATTAAGTAATTAATCATGTTAATTTTTAGCATTAATGTATAATAAAAATTACAAATCTTTATTACATCTTTTAAAATTACAAATTAAAAAATACAAATAATTAGAGATCAAATTTTTAGCATTATAGATCAAAATTTATGTTATTTATAATCTTTATTATATTTTTTAAATATTTTGAATATATTATATTTATATAATAAAAATTATAAATCATTATAAATCAATGTCCTTTTTGGTAATTGTACATTCAAAAGCACATTTCACTATCACAAACTAAACAACTTTCAATGTATCAAACTGACTTTTGAAAAAATATATCCAAACACAAATTTCGTTACAACAACTGACTTTCATTAAACTGACTTTCTCCAAATGAACTTTCACCAAATGAACTTTTGGCAAACTGAAAACCAAACGCACACTTAATTTCTAAAAATCGGAACCGATCTCAAACGTAGCACCTAAAGTGCAGCAAGGTAATCAAAGACGAGGATGCGAACAAATTTGAATATGAATTGTCCAATTTAAAATTGGCTTTCTTCCTTGGCAAAGGAGAGTAGATGAGGAATTATCACAAATATAAATTGTTAAGTTGAATTTGATTATTTAAATTTAATAATGTTTAAAAGGCAGATTTAATTTTAATAGTACAGATTTGAAATGAAAAAGTAATAATGAAAAGAAAAGGTAAAAGAGAGAAACTCATCCGTTTCAGTTCCAAGATGAACGAAGCAAGCAACACTCCATTGATTTGACAACCAGTTGCTGTCCCTCTCGCGTGCTTCTGCTTCACCCCACACTCCACATCCGTCTTTAAATATATGATAAAAACAATAACGTTATTATTTTAAAACTTATTATCGTGTCGATTACAGAAGCAACTTGAAACCAAGTTTTTTTAAAAAAATCTTGCTGCCTAGTGGCTAGATTTTTCAAAATTACACAAAAATCTGTATAATTGAATAAGATTTTATAAGAAAGTTATTCTAGTGATATGATATATAGAATGTTGGGAGTCCACGAAGGAGTACAGAAGTGATAAAAACAAAGAGCAAGGGAGAAGCAACGAGTGTGGTGGTGGGTTGGTCCACTTTGATATTTGTTTGGGATGATATCCAGGAATGAAAAGGAAAGAGGGAGTGGAATATTCTGATGATTTCTGTTGTGTTGTGTCACTCAAATGTCTCACATAAATAGAAATGGACTGGCTTGCTGGGTTATCTATGCAAATGGAAGGAAGAATTGGAAGTGAAGAATGGAGACGGAAAGCATAAAGGAGTTGAGGCATCTGCTAGTGACGGTGTTCCTCACAGGGCTTGCCGGTTTCATAGCCATTCCGGCAATTACCGACGTCACCATCTCCGCCCTCTGCCCTTCCCACCCTCGCTGCTCTCTCGCCATTTTCCTCTCCGGTTTCCAGCAAGCCGTAAGCACTCTCTCTCTCTCTCTCTCTCTCTCTCTCTCTTCGCTACTCCCCATTCCCCAACCTAATCTCTTCATCTTCAACACCCAACGCTTATTCGTCTTTGTTTCCCGTACCGTACGCTCCTCAATCATTCTCTCAACTCTCATCTGCCTCCCTCCCTCCCTCCAAATTCAATCTCCACCCTCTTATCACTCTTTCCCTGCAAACCCTCATCATTCCTTTTACTTCATATCACTGCTTCCCTTCACAACTTCCAGCTTCGCCTTTCATCTACTCTCTTCTTCTGCCTCTCTCTCTCTCTCTCTCTCTCTCTCTCTTTTTTAATTATTAGCTTCTGCATGAAATAATATCTTCAAGTCTCTAAATAAATAATGTTGTATTTTAAAAAAAAAACTCATATTTTTAAAAATTGTAAAAAAATACAAAATTCTATCCGAACTTCAACATATCATTATGTCTTTTATTTTATATAGAAATTAATTATATACAGGAAATTGAAATAAAATTAAAAAGGCAAGGCATTATAAAGAATACTGGAGTGAGGCAGGTTAGAAACGTCTCAAGCTTTACAAATTCTCTTATGTGATGTGAATGAAAGTGGCGTTCGTCATCATTTAAAAATACTAATCCATACGCACCTTGTTTTTTAAATTAAAATTTTCTGATATGTCCTTAGTTTATTTTGATAATTAATATTGTCTCTTTTTATGGCTGTGCGTAGGTAATTGATTTTATTTTGAACTTCAAAACTAGTGTAGATTGAAATTGAAATATAAGTGAAAAATAGTATTACTTAAAAAATATAGTTTGTATACATTTTGCCAGCCTGCAATTTTGCGTAGTTTACCATGAACTTCTTTGACACATGTATATATGTTTGTATATGCTCTTTGGCAAAAATAAAAAATCGAGCATGAGTGAAGCTGATTTGTGTGGGCGCAGGCGACTGGAGTTGGAGCCGTGGTGATGACGCCGTTAATAGGAAACTTATCTGACGTGTATGGGAGGAAAGCCTTGCTCACAGTTCCTCTAACGGTGTCGATCTTTCCTCTAGGTGATCCTCTCTTAACAAGTTAAAAAAAAAAAAAAAATCAATCAGCCCCTGTAATCTAACATAACTTCAGTCAACCCTCAAGACTCTAAAATTTCCCTGTACGTTTGAAAAACTAAAATGAAATTTAAGAGTTTATTTAAATGATTTTACTAGAAACATGAGTCATTTAAAAAAATAAACAACTAGTTTATAAAAAATGACTAACTAACATAGGTAGAATGAAAGTTGCAAATTTATAATAATGTTATATACTGTTAATAAAAGCTGCAAATTTTACTTACATCAGTTGTTCATTTTGCATGTATCAATTTTATTTTTTTATACAAATTATTCATATACCTAACTTTATCAAAGATAATAAAATTATTTCAGTCATTTCTTTAATTTTTTTTCAATTCCTCAATTATGTAGTGAAATTTTAGAATTTTGAGAATTAACTGAAATTATATTGGGTCAAGGGGGCTGACTAAAATTTTTCCATTTTCTTGTCATGCATAAGAATAAATTATATTTTGCATAATATAACCTATAAATAATGTGATTTAAATAAATTTTATATTAATATTGGTGATGTTCAGCATGGATGATGGCATTCCAAAACTCATAATTTATATTAATGATATTTATAGATCTTTTGAATTATAATTATTCAAAAATTGTAAAAACAAAATACTATTAATATATTTTTAAATGTATTATTACTAATCCTTCTTAAAATATTTGAATGATCATGTCATACTTTTAAGGTTCATATGTCTGACAATGATATTAGTGATGACGTTTTTATGATTATTAAAAAATTTAAATTTTTAAAATGTGTAAATATTATTAATATTAAAAACATTTAAAAAAATGGTCCAACAAACCATTATCGGGTACTTTTGTAGTTATACTGCGGTTTATACTTCATAGTTTATACCCAGCGGAGCGCTTTGCGTCTCTCAATGACAGAAATAGTGGCCCCCACTTATTAAAGCTTTTGACAACTAATCCAAATAAGTCACTTTTATAAAATAAATAACAGAATAGAAAGGCTCAAAGAATCCGAAGCATTTGTGTCTATTCTTTTGCCTTCTGGACAAAGCTTATTATTAATGGTTTTTTTTTTTTGTCGGCCAGCTTTCTATTACTTAACACTCCAAAAATACAAATGTAAAATCAGTTTTGTACCTAAAATCATGATTTTAAAAAATCTTATCCAAACACTCCCAATTTTCTCAAATTTTATTTGGCATAAACTATTTTTTCCCCCTCCATTTCGTAATCAATTCTCACTGTTTGAGAGTTTTTCTCCATTTGAGTTTTTTATAATTGATTTTGAAAAATTATCCAAACATTTTCAATTATTAAAATCAATTTTAAAAAAAATACTATCAAACATCATTACATTTTGTTAATTAATTTTTTTATAATCAATTTTTACTTTTTAAAATCCAAACACGCCCGATATTGCGGCATCATTTGAATGTCTCTTCTCACACTTACTAAACAAAGACTGCCTCGTTGCTCTGTCTAAGGGTTAAAACTTCAAACCAAAAAAGATTTTTTGAGGAACATCTCGAGAGAAAATTGGATTTGGTTAGACAATGTTTGGCTGTTAAACAGGGCATGCGCCCTTGGATTATTGTTGCATATTCAGCTCTTGTTGCAGCTGCTACTGCTATTTAGAAAACTTCCAAATTCACCTGGCATCTCAAGGGATATATGATATACTAAAAGTGTGAAATATTTGGGTTCTGGCAGTAATACTGGCATGTAGCAGAGAAACCAACTATTTCTACGCATATTATGCAGTTAGAACTGTTGCTGCTATGGTGGGCGAGGGCAGCGTCCACTGCCTCACTCTTGCTTACGTGGTACCTACTTCCTTACTCTAATGTCTTACCAAATCAATTGGTTCCAAATATGATTATGAAATGAATTAACATAGCCCAAAAACTCGCCTCACCAGATTCTGATTTTGTTTGTTTGTGTAATTCCTGTGCTTTTCGTGATGCTCATATCGTACTTTATCAAGTTATTATTGACTAGCAGGCAGACAAGATTGAAGAGAGAAAACGAGCATCTGCATTCGGAATCCTTGGTGGTGTTGGCTCAGCAGCATTCGTCTGTGGAACCTTAGCTGCTCGTTTCCTTTCCACTGCTTTAACATTTCAGGTTTCTGCATTCCTGTCGATGATTGCGGTGGGGTACATGAGAATTTTTCTAAAGGAAAGCATTCTTGATAGTGGTACTGGTCTGAGACAGCCAATGTTGGGCGAAAGCCAGGAGCCGCGTGCGAAGGAAGAGTGTGAGATCAATGATTCAGCACACAAGACGAGTGGAATATTCAAGAGTCTTCCTTCAGTGAGGGATTTGATTTGTTTGCTCAAGTGTAGGTACGTCTACATGAGGCAATTTGGTGAACACGCGCACTCAATGGGGAAATGAGGGCATTATTTTTAGCGTTATTAATGTCAAACGCTTCGTTTTGCAGCCCCACGTTTTCCCAAGCAGCTTTGGTTATGTTCTTCAATAGCCTTGCAGATGGGGGGTTGCAGACTTCAATTCTGGTAAATTGTTAGATGCTTTTCTAGTGTTTTCACTTTGCAGACCTTGTTAAATGCTTTTGTGGTTTGCTTTAATGCATCTTGCACTTTATATAACATATTCCATTGCTATTGCAGTACTACTTAAAGGCTCGTTTCCAATTCAATAAGGACCAATTTGCTGATTTGATGCTAATCAGTGGCATTGGAGCAACTCTTGCACAAGTACTCCCAATATGCTTTTGTTCCAGAGTTTACACTTCATAATAATATGAAGGAATATGTTATAGAGACTATTTCTAATTGCCTGTTTGGTAATTGTTTGAATGCTTCAGGTGCTTCTCATGCCCATAATAATGCCTGCTATCGGAGAGGCAAAGCTGCTCTCAATGGGTCTGTTTGTTCTATGCTTAAGTGTAGGCTCCGAACTCTCTTTTCTTCACACAAATTTTATCTAGAGCCATGCTAGCTAGGCTTCTTATGATCAATAGTACAAACAAAAAGAATGACTTACTGTGGGTTTCCAATCTATGGTACTACATGCAGATCTTGGTTTACAGCATATCGTGGTCTCCATGGGTAAATCTTCTTCAAACACTTCAATTTTTGTCTATATATCCTCAAAAGAACCTTTCAAACTTTGCAGGTTCCTTATGCCATAGCAGTGTCGTCTGTTTTTGGAGTTTTTGTTCGCCCAAGCGTAAGTTTCTTTACTTGAATTTGCTTAGAGCTCTCTAAAAATGATTTGTGGTAGTGTATACGGTTTATTCTTGGGGCTTAGCATTCTGACAAGTGATCGCCCGCACTGGACAGATATGCAGCATTGCATCCAAACAAGTTGGACCCGGGGAACAGGTATGGCTTCGCAACGTTTTATGTATGTCTTGTTCAAATATAAATTGCTTTAAATCTAGAAATGATCAGCCACACTCTGATGCAGGGAATGGTTCAAGGATCTCTTTCAGGAATTAGTTCCTTAGCCAACATCATTTCTCCATTAATTTTCAGTCCACTGACAGGTACGAGGTGCTCAATCTAGGAATATACTTGGTTCTGAAAAAGGTGGGTAGAAACTGATAACATTTATGTATGCATGCAGCCTTGTTCTTGTCGGAAAAAGCACCGTTCTATTTTCCTGGCTTTAGTATAATGTGCGCTGCTTTTGCAATGGTAAGATCATCAATCCACCTAAAGGTTCCCCAGTTCTATTGAGAACTATCTATCACAATCACTAGAAAATGAAACAAGGATCCGCACATATATCTAATGATTAGGATCTTTCTTAGATTTTGCGCGGAATAACAAGAATCAACTCTAATGAACATAGATATACTTTTCTCAAGGCTCCCATGCTTAAAAGTTTATCATCATCAAATTAATCAAAATTTCTTGATGATTGCAGATGATTGCTTTCATTCAGAGTATTATGATCCGAGCTGTCCCATCTGATGTTGGTGGCAAAGGTAGCGGGAATCCCTTGGTCTGAGACGAGGACGAGTTTAGGCCATCAAGGAAGAAACTTCTATACTTCGTTTGCCACAGTAAAATTGTTGTTTGAGGATAACCTACTTGTGCTATTATATTTTTTTTGTAGGGAGCACTATAGTTAAAATATTTGGATTGCATTGGACTGCTTTTTTTTTTTTTTTGGATAAAACAACTTCTAATACCTTATGTTGGGACATTTTATCAGTTTGGTTATGCAACTTTAATTTCTGTTATTTTAATATTTAACATTTGTTTTAATTATCAAGTTATCCTTCTAAGATTTTAAAGACAAAATAACCCTAAAAGAAAGTTGACATAAAAATTAAATTGTTTACGTGAAATATATGCAGACCTGAATTAAATCAGCCAAATATGCTAAATTTTTAATAACTGATACTCCTTTCGTTTAAAAATGTAAGATATTTTTTAAGGAGTTAGATGTTAAAAAATATAAGGTATTTTTAGTTTTTCGAAATTTAATTGTTGCCTTTTTTTTTTCAAAAATACCTCTTTTAATAATGACTTTATATTTATTATAGGATGTTTAATAGGAGTAAATATAGAAAGATAAGGTTAATTAAAAAGTAAGTAACTACTTTATTTGGGGATGAGATTTGATTAAAAATACTTTATATTTTTGAATGGAAGGAATATGTTATTTATTTCATTATTTTATTATGCATAATTTAATGCAACGTGAAGGAAGACTTGCCATCGGATAAACGGTATTATATTATGCATCATTTAATATAACTCCAAAAGTTTTGGATTGATTTTCACCTTCATCTTGGGCATCAACACTGCTCCATCCACTCTGATGACAAACACAAAATATGATGTTTCATTAATTTACAAATAAGATCACATACATTAAAGGATTCGCTAAAAAACTATTAAAACAAACTATTTAATGTGAAGAAGAAATTGTACCTTCAACAAAGTATTCAACTTGCTCATTCTCCTGCCGGTCATTTGTTTTACTGTAATCAACACCCCAGATGCTCGCACATTGAAACTCCATCTTGTCCTCAGTAAGCGTGCCAGTCTTCTTTGGAAAAAAAAAAAAACATTATTGATTTGCCCAAAATCTTCATTAATATTTAAAGCTATGTAGAAACGGCAGCACAAAAGCCACAAGAAAAGAGAGAATGATTATATCGTAGTTCATCCGAGTCTCCAGCCGGCTCCTCTTCGACGGAGCAGACAAGTCATCGGTGAAGAGCGATGACGGTGAGAGTCTTCGTGCCCTAGGAGAAATGGAGGCTTTGCAGATGGGTCACCGCTTGAGAGAAATGGAGGCTATCGGTGTTTAATCTAGGTGGGTTTTTTTAATATCCTAAAAATGTTTTCCCCCCTCTAAGGCTCTAACATCCAAGTTAGCTCATTATGCTTCCCATGATATTAGTATACGTGGCTGCCACATCATTATTTCTTTAGTCAAGTCAGCATAATTTAATGGTGTTAATTTTTTAAATAATATTAAGGATTACTTAAATAAATTTATGAAACATCAAGGACTGAAATAATAGAAATTAAAGGAATCAAATCAATAAACCCCCAAAATACTAAAAGTTGCTTTATCCTTTTTTTTTTAACTTATTTAATGGCATGCAATTTTTTTTTTCAATTTTTTGTTGTAAGCTTGCTTGCTTTTTAAATAAATCATAGACCATTGAACTAAATATGCTTGTCTAGTTGAGATCAAGACAACTTGCATATAAAATTCGATAAAATGGAAACTTTTCTTGGAGAATATTGATATGGTAAACTAACTAGTAAAGCCTAGAAACCACAACTAATTAAAACTCATGGTATTGGAAGATCACAAGACAGAAGACACCATACATCTCTGAATTTCATTGTCATGTTTTCTTATACTCCATTTTTTCCCATTGCAAATTGTCAAGAAATCGACTATGTTTCCGTGCAACACTTAAGCATCACTCTCTTAATTAGCTCTTTTTTTTAACCTTGAACATAACAATTTTTCATGCAAGTATAGAATATGCAAGCATAATATGCTTGCACAAAGAAATCAGCTACTGTGGGTGCATGGAGGCTACGTTATGTGAATCATTAAATGGCTAGCTGGGGTGGTTTGATAGCATGAATAGCCAATGATCTTAACTTTTTCTACAACTAAAAACACACTAAAGACCAATACCTTCACAGACGCCAAGAGTTCCAGTTCTGCACCGCAAAGAATAATATCTAGTTAACGTTGTCGCTGAAACAATTGAAGTTCATAAACAAGGGGTTCTGAAGGAAAAGAACTACGGAAAAGATTTTTCTTTTTCTTTCTTTCTCTGCTTTATTATTTTTTTTTTTGGGGGGGGGGCGGAAAGTGGTTGGACAGTCAGACAAAATTTATTGTCTTCACAGCACGTAGTACATTAGCAAAGGAAATATTTAAATATTTTTATTGTACATCATACAATTGATGATCACATGGTTGAGTTTGGAAACTACATAGCTAATCTGCCAGCAACTAAAAAAATATTATTATTATTACAAATAAGTCTCAGCCCCCTGGCAGGTGAAAGCTGAGACATCATCAGCTATAAAACCCGAACAATATACAGGGCATGTAAACTGAATTCTATATTATCAGGACGAAAATATACGCTTCATGAGCAGACAATCCACCTCATTCAATTGGAAATATGTCATCATCGTTGTTATCCATGTCCAGATATCTAAATTTCATATCGCCCCCTCCATGTTCTTTATATTTAAAACTTGAGTTCAGATAGCAGTTAGTCTCCTGAAACAAGTTCAAGTTGTCCACAAGCTTATGATACGCATTGCATTCACAACACTGCCAAAAATGAATAAAACAAAGTGGTCAATTTTCCTTCCATTGCATCAGGACATTCATATAAATGCAACCATGTCAGCTCTGTTTTTACGTTTAGCATTATTAATCACAGATAAAAAGGTCAAAAAATCTAGATAGCTTACAGAATAATCTACTAACTGCTTATAGTAAAAAGGGGGGGGGGGGGCATCAGCTGGTAGAAAAGTTTGCCAGACCAGAGGTCAATATCAACAAGTAGCACCCACATAATCTCTCATTGTTCAATCAACCTTTTCCAGCGAGAAATAAACCCTAGATAGAAGCAGTTTCAACAATCACACGAAAAACAAAATTGATCCATCATTTCTCAATACTTGCCAATTCCATAGGGGGGGAAAAAATACTAGACTAGCCAAAAGCTTACCTGAACAAAAACAGTACCATCAGTATAAGCATGAGGATTGATGGCCCGAGTAGTTCTCTGCCCACAGATGGTACAAGTAAAAGCTACAAGCATCCTTCGGCGAGGCGATTTCGTGAAAAGTGACCAAGGGAAAGTGGATATGTTTCCATTGTCAGATTTACTATCCTTCCCACCGGCCGGAGCAGAGGGTCCTTCCATACCTGAATCTGTAGTCCACCCTCTTCCCGCCGCAGCACTCAGCACCAATCCCATCGCAGCATCCTAACCCACAAATTTTGATCACAAGTCAATTCTTTTCAATGACAAAGAATAAGATTGTTCTTCCTGCGTTATCACTTTCAATTTTTATGAAGTACCGATATCTCAAATAAAAAAAAAAAAAGTAAATGTATCTATAGCTGATACGTATTTGATATGATATATATCATATATGTTTTATATATTTCATACAATGTGTATCACGTATTCTATCATTTCTATTATATTTTTTCGTCAAAATATTTCTCTGACTTACAAACTATGATTCATATATGTTTTAAATCTCAAAATACCTGCACTCATTATAAAATATTGAAATAGTAATCGTATCTAAACTTTTGATATCATGTTGTATCATAATATGATACATGTACCCCTTATTGATGCTCGTTAGGTTTCATTTCAGAAGGAACTGCGATTAAGTTGAAATTTTGAGAAAGGAATAACATACCTTCGAAAGAGGGGAAAGGGAGAGCCGACGATCGCTAAGAATCGGAAGATTGTCGATCTTCTTCGAATCAAATTGGGAATTTGAATCATTATCGTCGCCTGAAAACACGATTGGAACCAGGTAAGGGAATCTGAAGTATGTTCCTTAGCAATTGATCAAAATATAGAAAAGGGGGCGGATGAATACGCCTGGAGGAAGCACGACACTGGACGGTCCTGGGGGTAAGGCATCTTCTTGGAGGCAAAATGGAGAAAGGAGAAGAGGAAGACGCAATAGTTGCAGAGGAAGAGCTCGCCATGGTTTCCATAAACGGTGGGTCGATGCTTCTGTGGTGATACCGGCTGCTTTGCTTGCTTCGCCGAAAAATATCATGAACTGCTTTCCCATATAAAACGGTGGGTCAATGTTTCCGTGGTGAGCCATGCATCGTTTTATGGCATGTTTCGGCCCAAATCGTTTTATGGATTGGGCCAACGTCGTCGAGAGAACAACGTCTGATATTGATATATTGTCGGATTTCTGGCCCGGTTCAGAAGTTAGTGGGGGAAACTTATTGATATCCAAGAATAGAGAATGAAATATAGTTGACCCAGAAAAATGAAAAATAATATGGCATGTCACTCTTCGCATTTGGTGGGCATAGCGGTCATGGGTGAGCTATCGGGGGGAAAAAAATAGCGTCCACGTTTGCGTGTATATTGATCATTGAGTAGTTATCCTTCAATTCTTGTACTTATATTTCCAAGGAAAGTAACTTGAGAATCCTATTCAACAATTTGGTTTCAATAAAGTTGGACTGTTTTAAAATAGCCAGTCAGTCTGTGGCTGACTGTTATAAGAGCATTCAGAGGAGGAAAGGCTAGAAATACAAATCCGTGCCATGCTCAGCATACATTATGGCGCAAGACTATGATACAATGATATAGTCAGAGGTAACTTTACTATCCAATTGAAATTTAATTTCAAACAATTCAATTTTTTTACCTGACATACAATTCAAATTTAAATCACCCAATTACTCAAATAATTTAAACACAAACCACGAAAGTGGTAATGTATTTTCACTTCGGACAACATTTATATTCTAGAGAAAGAGATGACCCACACCCTGGTAATCTAAAATTTTCTCTGCCACCTGGTCGAGACTTCTAGGAATGCTAAACAATGCATTATGAAAGTAAACAAATGAAAAGGCTATTTATTGAAAGTGACATGAAAAGGTTATTCTCAAATCTCAATCCTTACTTGATTCAAGTGGGCGTTGCATATATTTTCTGTAAATCACTTGGATTTTTAATTTACGAAAAGTACCTCACTCGGGCCAGAGAGTAAATGCATAAACATGCATGAAGAAATATCAGAAATCATAAAAAAAAAAAATGATATAAAATAAATGTTAAGAACACTTGTATACAATATTATGCTTTGACATAAATGTGAAAGATTCCACTCCAAACAGTTAATGTCAATCCTATGTTATATACAATTGCATCCATTATTTTTGGGAGGGCAAAGTTTCGATCCTCTGACTCAACTGAACAAGTCCTCATGGCTGGCAGTGTCACCCCCATCTTCATCATCAGAACCATCACTGTTAGCATTAAATGTCAGTATCAACTCTAGAAGCTGTTGACCAGCAGCTGAGTTTTCTCCATCACGCTCTGTGCTAGTCCTCTGCCTTGGAAGTGAAAGCAGTTGCAACATCAGATCATGAGGAGACCCTATCCGGTACATCCAGCCCCTTGCCTTCGGTTTCTGTTGGACACACAAAATTATCATCAATAGCATCACTACAATCACCAGCAAAATTATCATTGTTGCCATTGTCACAGATAACACCATCAGCATCATCATAACAATTATCACCACCTCCATCACCACTGTTGACGTCATCATCACCATGACCATTACCACCATCAAAATCAACATTATCTACAATATCATCATCAGAGTCACGCACATCATCATCATTATCGTTGCTGTTGTCATCGTCATCAAAAACATCATCATAGAAATCATCGTATTCATCAAAGTCGTCATTGTCATCATCTTCTTCATCATCATTGTCATCGCCGTCCTCATCATCATCACCACCATCACCAATTGTAAACCAATGAATTTCATCAAATATAGGAACCTTCTTCAGAGGAGCAACAGCAGAGAAATCAGTCCTCTGCTGCCCAAGCAGTTCATAGAACATAATATCCTATCCTTCTTGCATCCATAATTAACGTCATTACATTGATGTGTTAAATTCACGTTTTTCTTGTTGGCCAAAGAAAGGAAATTCACGTTTTTCTCCAAACATTTTCAAGGTTGAAGAGTTTTGTTTAAGTTCATAGTATCAAAACGAGGTTGAAATGTTGCGTTTCATCTCCAAGATGAATCTCCAAATTAATTCTCAACAATGAGAACTTAGAAAAATCACATTAATTACTTTTGGCAGTATTTCTACATCCAAAATCTTGAACCAAATACTATGGGGGAAAATATCCACAAAAAAACCTTTAATAAAACTCACACATGATTAAATCTTAGAGCTTCATATCATGCCCAGAAGTTGATGAATTTCCTCAAAATTAAAAGACATCAAGACATCCAAAATGGATTGTGCCAAGAGAATTTGACCGGCAAGGGACAATCCAGCATAGCTGGAAAAATTACTAGGGTGAATATCATGATAAGGGTGAGGGACACGCAAAAGCCTTGAAGCTTCTAGAGGAAGTTGATAGGAAATGGGAACAAAAAATCTACAAAGAGTTGATAGCTGGTAGAATTTGTTGGAAAACCAGAGATGATTAGAGAGTCTTTTTTCCCCCTCTCTATTTTCTCCAGTGACTATGTTTACTGAAATTTCTAAGAGGGAACTCTGGTTTCATCAAAGTAAATTTCAATCTTATGTCCAGAAAATGGCTCTCTCAAAATGGTCCCAAAAGTATATTAAGTATTTACATAAACAGTTTTTCAAACACAATGTAGTGTGTCCTACACATAACAGGCATCATGCAATAAAAAATCATATCTTGGTGTGCTAAGTAAAAGAATTAGCTTCAAGCAAAAAATAATAATAATAATAATAATGAGAGAGAGAGAGAGAGAGAGAGAGAGAAACTTGAAATAATTAGCTCAATAATTCATACCTGCTCAATGTTTTTGGGTAAAGTAGCTTTCTCTAAGGCCTTTGGAGTCCATAACTTAATGTCATTATCAATTCCACTGCTTGCAAGAGCCATTGTATGAGGATGAGATTCAATGCAATTTACAACATGCTTGTCAGCTTCCATGACACGAATAAGCTTTCCATCCTTCTTTCTCCAGATGAAAATCCGGCCACAGTCTGACCCACTCACCACATACTCACATTTCGGCCCAAAAAAATTAACACCCTTCACTGTTTCACAATTTCTATGCCCCTTATAAACTTGAGGAGTCATTTTCTCATCCATATCCATGTTTGATAGAGATGCTGCAGAGCAATGATCACCTCCTATTTCACTTGCATCACTGTTCATAGAAACTGGGGATCCAGGAACTGGGTTGGGCCCCAAGCCCATATTGTGTGTAAAAAGATAAATGGACTCATCATTGTAGGACACAAGCAGCTCACTCTGTTCGGAAAAGGCCAAGCCTGTTATTCCAACTTGCTCATTACCCCTCAAGCGCGGAGGGCAAAAGAAGTTAGAAGGTTGACCAAAATCAGTGGATCCATCCCATTTGTACTTGCGAATATCATAAAGTCGAGTGTACTCATCTGACCCAGCAACCACAAAGAGATTTGGATTCCTTGGATCAATTGCAATTGCATTTAGATGGATGACTGGCATGTAATCCCTTCTATCATTAATTGGCTGGCAGGTAAAAAGTTCCGTTGCAGCCCCAGTTCTCACATCAAACTGCAATGAAGCTAGATGTCACTTGACAATATAAATTCAATAGAGATTAAAATTTTCAAGGGCCTGCCCAGAGAAAGATATAGAGCACCAACAGTGGACTTTCCATTTAAAACAGTATTAAAAAAGAAGAGTTAACTGTCATTATATTTAGAAGTTTACAATTTTAAGATAGAACTAAAGTAGTGGAAAAGTTCTTAGTACAGATAAAGCATGACTTATAATATTTACTATCGGAATTGTACTATCTCAAATGCCCCCCCACCCACATAAGAGAAAAGTTATCAGTGCTAGGGCTCAACCAGTTTTAGCCCATAGTGAAAGTAGATTAAAGGATAAAAAATCAAAAAGAAGAAGAAGAAAAAGCAAAGGAGATCAATCGCTCACATGCTGTACTAATCCATCTTCACCGCAAGTATAGAATATATGAGGGCTACCAGGCTCAATAGCCAACTTGTGAGCACGTCCTTGATGCCTGGCTAGTATCTTAGTTTTGACTCCTCCACGTTCTAGAATTTGCGCATGTCTCACCTAAATTGAGAGCATACACTCATAAGGAATCAACTTTTCCAAATGAATAACATAACAAGATTCATACATATTAACAATGACAAAGACCATTATATTTATCTTGATGTTAAAGGAGATAAAAAATTTAGGTAAAAAATACCATCCTTATAAAGCTGTAACATATTACATTTTTCTGGAGGATAATGATAGAAAAAAGGCATACTTAAGTTAGGGATAATTGCTAATCATTCAATAAGATGAGTTCCTGAAATAGACAATTCAAATGGAAACAAAGTGGCCCTTATCAAAATGTGACAGATATGACAGGATAGAATGGAAATGTTGACCAAATGAAAATGGATGATGAACTTTTCACAATGTGACAGGTATGAGGGGGAGTACCTGTCCATCAGCCGCACAAGTCACAATGCTTCGATCATCTGAGTGAGGCATGAATTTTGCTTGGAAAACATTGTTAACATGACCAGAATGAAAGGACAACTTGGTCTGCCCAGTCTCCCAGTCCCAGAGGATAACCCTCCTGTCATCAGATCCTGACACCAAGATATCACCATCTCCATTAAAGCCTACAGTGTTCACACATCCTTTGTGCTTTTCCAGCTTCCTGTGTAAATCAAGTCGAAGGACAAGATCCTAAAACATGTGACATCGATTAGTTTAGATCTTTGAGTTTCTGATCTCAGAAGTATATTCTTCTTCTTTGTTTGAAGGAAGGGTAGGAAGGTAATATCGGCATCAGCATAAAAGCAAAAGGAAATGGTGATGAAATAATTTTTATTGTCTTAAATTTCAAATTGTAATAACATCAAAAGACTTTACAGTCAAATGAGTCAAAAAAGGAAAGAAGATCTGCCATTAGAATTAAAATGTAAATTTCAGATGGTAACAACATTGAAAGAGTTTACCGCCAAAGACTCAAATGAGTGAAAAAAAGGAAGAAAAAACGTCATGGAAATTTGAAATAGACATGCCTATTGTAACACAATTTCTAAATAAATTAGTCCACGAATCTCAATTAGCTCTTTTAAAGCCAAAATTGCTTCTAATCAAAGGTCACCACCCAATGAGATGGGATCAACTGTCTAAAATATCTCCAAAAGCTAAACATTTTATCTTTTGATGAGATATTTTATTAATGAAAAAGAAATGAAATGAACCTATAATACCGATATCTAACAGATGCAACTAGCTGACATGGTTCTAAACTACTTTTGATATCTTCTAGAATGCAGTACGCCAGATAAAACACAATCTTATACACATGCAATGCCTCTGCGATATTACTCAATGAAACTTGTAAAACCAGTGCTAAATTTAGTCCACTTTTCATCAAAATTAGAAGCCCATGTGCTGCCTGGAAAAAGTCAGCGGCACACTTTGGTGAATACCACCAAGGCGAACAATATACATGCAAGAGCATGGTGCAAAATACACGCATTAAAATATTTTTTTACATCCTTGTGTTCCATTTACTTCACTTAAATAGAAGACACATGCTTGAACCTGTCAGCAAAAAAACTAAAGTTCATACAGAAATAAACCCAATTATCTTGATAAAACGCTACATTAATCGGCTTCTCAAGAACCAGGTTTCCTTTCAATTCTGAACCATCTTCTATGCTCTCCATTTGAAAGTTTACCTTAAATTTTCCCCGGTTACCAAACAGAAGTTACCAATCAAAAACAACAAAAAAACAAAATACAAAAACAAAGAAAAATCAACAATAAAATAAATAGCACCATATGAAAAAGAAGAAGTTGCCACGTTGGACATCTTCAGCCTCACATAACAGATATGACATCTAAGTCTAAACCATTGCATTTCCACCAATGGAGTTCATATTTTCCCTAATTAACATATGCTTCAACGAGAATAATAAAAACCGGTAGAAAAAAAGAAAAACAAGCATAATAACCGACAAGGAAAAAATGCAAGTAAAATTATCAAAGGGCAACAATGGTAGAGAGTCCTGGACAATCAGACCTCAGCACCGCCGAGGCGATGAGCGAAATTCCTGCCAGATAGCTGGCCGACTTCTCGCTGCCAGACATCGACTGCTGCGTTGTCGATGCTCGTTCTCGGCCTCTTGTTCATCCCTGAGCCAGAAGACAGATTGGGTAAGAAGAGATGGTTAACGATGCAGTAAACTATGATGTATTGATCAAATAAAAAGAAAAAAGAAAGAAAAATCCATGGGCAAATTGAGACGGTAAAGATGGGACAACAGCCTGGATATCAGAGAAGGTCAATCAGGTGGAAGGTATTGTAGAGAGGTATTGAGAAGCTGAAACCGAATTACCGCCAGATCTCCCAGAGATGGATCAGTTTCGAAACAGAGTTGAATTGCATGCACCAGCGCCAACAACGCAGCAGCGTCCTTATGGGACGGTTTATCTCTCTCTCCCTCGCTCTGTCTCTGAAGTAAGAACTATGCTTCGTCCTTTATCCCAGGGATCATCATCGTCAATTCATCGCTGCTTACTATTTCTTTCTGCCATCACGGAAGAATGCCCTGGCGAAGTGAAGAGAACGCCCGAAGTCATACGTGGAGTGGAGACGTGGCGCCCTAAAATGAATAAACTAATGGAATCCAAGGAATCCATCCCTGATGGCCAATGGGCCTTCAAACACAAACAATTGGGCCGCATTGGGTTTTATGAACCGCCGCTTTGATGATAATGATGTTTCCTGAGTTGAAAAGGGAATTTTCATTTTTCGGTACGGAGTTGAAAAGGGATTTAATTACCCTAAAATATTTCGTTGAGAATTTAGAAAATATATGAAAGCTTCATATTGATAAAGAATTCTGTATATGAATGAGAGATTTGATTGATATCATAGATTATGCCATTGCAAACTCTATGATGTATATACACAAAATGAATTGATGTATATATATAATACATAGATTAGACACATTAAATCAATATTTTTATTTTAAAAAAATAAAAATTAATATATGTTTACCATATATATATAAATAATAGTATGATTTACATACTTAGTTTCATATTTAATATAATTTTATTCTGTCAAATCAAACGAGTGAATTTTTAAGTATTAATAATATTAATGACAAAAATTTATTATAGAATAAATAATTTATAAATAATAATTTTTTTTAATTTAATTAAAAAAAAGTATATTAAATATATAAAGTTAGATATATAAGTTTTCCTATATAAGTCATAAAATATACTATATATATTGATCTAATCAGTTTATTTTAAATAGTATTTTTTCAAATATTAAAACATTATTGAAATAAAGTAAAAAAAAATATACAAACCAATTTATAACATATTTAAAAGTAAATAATAATTAAAATATTTATTTTCGAAAACATAAGAAACCTATTTTCTAAAGAGTTTCTGTCTTTGATTTTTTTAAAAACAAAGTATAAAAATATATTAGGAAGAAAAAAAAATTAATACTAAAACATTTGATAAAATTTAATTTCTTGAAAAATGTCTTGAAGTATTAATTCTAAAGTATGAACTCACAATTTAAAAATATCAAATGCGTATTGAAAATTAAAAAATATTTTTAATTAAAAATTAATATTTCAATACTTTGTGCATATATATAGAGAGAGAGAGAGAATAAGTCTCATAACAGTATGAGATATGATACTGACACATATGCGTCAATTAGCAATTTGAAGTTACATTAATAATCAAATCCAACTAATTAGTTTAAACATGAGTCTCTTGCATACTTTATAAAACATTAGTTTTGCACATCTAGCTGGGACAGGCAAAATCTTAATACGTAAGCTATTTTTTGGGAAAATTTTTGAGGGATACAGATCTTGGAGTAAATCACGCAATGCAAGCTCAAATTCTGGTGAGTGTAAGGTGTAGCCTACAAAATTTGGCAAGCACTGAAAGACTGTATATCCCATTAAAAGCCTCGACAAAAGTTTGGTATAGAAGTCAAATTATAGTGTTAGTTGTTTTATATTCTCCCGCTGTTCTTTATAAATTATTTTTATCAACTTCATTAATATTAATTAAAAAAATAAAATAAAAGAAATAAAAATTTATGAAATTTTAAATATACCCTCATATAATAAATTTTAAAAGTGATATTATATTATTTTTCTCTCTCATAAAAAATAATTTTAAAAATATTTTTTAAATATTATTTAAACAGTTAAATTGTGACTTATAAATAAAACTAAATAAATATTTTACTAAGGCGTGCCTTTTAAATGAGACGAGAGAGTAGCAAATTAATCTTGTGCGGTCTGATGTTTTTGCCATTTTCAAGAGCTTTATGATAAGAATGATTTTTCCATTTACCAGCATTTTAACATGGAACTTATAAATTAAATCTTCAGAGAAGCATTATTAAGATCTAATCTATCGGCAAAAGATTCTTTTATAACCAAAAGAAAAACCAAAGCTGATATAGATGTAGTAGTACATAAAATAAAAGCCATTATATTATGGGTGAGACGAGACGTTCTAGTTTCTTGTGTGCAAGCAGCCGGGACAAGGTAGAAAATTGAGAGTAACAGGACTAACAGTAAGCGTACGTGGTTTTGGAAGTAAGTGGTGCAACATAAAGAAAGAGAAAAATCGATGGATAGCGAAGAGTAAGAGATAAAACCTAGTGGAAATTAAGATCAGCACCAGCCACCAGACTACCAACCTAGAAGTAGTGATAAAAGTAATATAGAATATGTACACTCTATACAGAAATCCTAAGCAGCTAGAGCCGCAGGGTTAGGGGAACAATTAGCCAAGAGTGGTGGCAGTGGCCCAACTGGGAGGAAGGCGGTCGGAGGTGGTGGGCATGCTTCGAACACTGATATCAAGGGGAAGGAGGCGGAAGTGGATGTCGACCTCCCGGAAGATCTTGATCATCTCCTCAATCAGAAGGGATCTTCTCACAAATCTTTCCCCCATGTCTTGGTGGTTCATTCTGTGACTCGGCCACACTGCGATTCTTATCATGTTGAGCTGGTCAGCGTCCTTGTACACTATCATGGGTGACGGATACCAGAACTCCTTCTTGCTCTCGATGTAACTGCAATTTTATTATTCAATACACATGTCGACATCATATAATCCATGCACGTGTCGGCTATACATGCATACCTTTGTATTTTGTTTATGATGAGTGTGATCTTTTCTGCTGGGGTAGATAAATGTACCAAGAACTCCGCAGCCTCTCCCATGTCGGGACTCCGGTAGAAATTATATATGGGCTTGGTAGCCAGAACACTGTTAGGGATCGTTACCTTCAAATTGTCGTATCTCAAAAATATGGTTGTCAATATGTTCATCTCTTCCACAATCATCTGAAATTAATTTGCTACCAATTATTAGCCATCCCCTTTTAATGGAATCAATTCACAGCAACGTTAGCGATGTTCAAAAGGTCATATATGTTACCTGAATGCCGTCAACTTCGCATCTATCTCCCACGTCAAAAGGGTGCATGACAAATAAGAAAATGATGGCTTCGAATATGGTCTTGCAGGTATTTCCGAATATGAATGCCGCCAAAACGAGCTGGGAGCTCACGACGACAAGAAATTTGCTGGTGGCAATTTCCAGTATTAAGAGCCAAATAACCAGAATGACGATGGCCACTAAAAAATTGAGCATTCGATGAAGTTTGTTAACTGCCGTTTTCGTGTCGTTCAATGTCAAAGCAAGCGCTCTTCTTTCTCGAAACGCGTTCACCACCCAGTTCTTCAAGGCCGATTTGTTGATTTTCCCAGTATCAGGCGCTCCTTCGAATAGACTGAAGGTTTTGACGGCTTCATCTTCTCTCATGAAGCGCAACAAGTCCTCGAGGTATATGAACCTTCAAATTAAAAAGCCGAACATGACAAGCAGACACGATTAATCGGGGTATTCTTCCCATCGAACACTATCACTCTTACGCTTTTATTGACACAGAATATTTTCCCAAAAAAAAAAAAATCGATTGCATCAATTCTCAAAGAATTTAAAGTAACAAATGTCTTAAAAGCACGAGTTATTACATAAAGGAAAAGTAAAGTAGACTTGTTACACAATATACATGTGTCTATGATCCACATTAGTTATATTCAAGGATTTGTATATTCTTATCAAAATTAGATTAAAAAGATCCTTTAAAATTTTACGTGAATGAATAATGTCACCTGTTTTAAATAGTTGTTATCAAATTTATAAAAATATGTATATATACTTTAATTCTAATTAAGTAATTCTATAGTGATTATCGTAAATATGTATTTTACTAAATAAATGTGAGCGGTGATCTTCATAATTGAAAACAATTATTTCTGATGGTACGAGGACTTAGGTTATTTTCCATGGACTAGCCATGTCGTCGGGCAGACGGCAGATGCAGAGCACGAAGATGGCGATAAAGAAATAGGAAAAACCTGGATCCCCGCCTGGTAACATTCTGAAATATCTTTTTGGCCGCCGCTTTGGCCTCATTCTCGCTTCGGATTTGCGTGATCTGTTCATCTTCATGGGTCGAACCTTGAATCTGCTCGTCAAGCGTGGAAAGAGCTCCGTGTCGCACAATATTCATCAGCCTTTTCATGTTCCATGCGGACACATTCCTGGGATTCAACTTGTGCAAGTAATCAATTGGTATCCCGTCATCTGATTTCTTGGAAAGTGGTCGAGAAAACTTGCCACTTTTCAGATGAGGACTCTTGAGAAGCATCCCACTCTTGTTCACCTTTGGACTCTTGTTGAGAGAAGAGAAGGCCGATGCCCTCAGATCAGGAGGTATGGTAATTCCTGCGTTCTGAAGCTTCATCACCTCCTCCGCCAACTTCTCCTCCTCCTCCTCCTGCCTCTGAAGCTCTACCAGTGGTGGCCCTGACAGTGTCTCGATCACAAACTGATTGAACAACGATTCCTGTATCCTGTCGAAGTAGGTGCTCACGTGGAATGAAGAAGCCAGAACCTTGACCATCAGAGTTTTCACCAGCCACACCAGAGTACCCACCAAGAAGCAGATCAAGATCTTGGTCACGTATTCTAGGAAGTCGTTTTTCGTCTCCCTTTCCACTCTCTGATCGAACAGAGAGTGCCATGCGATTAAAACCAGACCCAACCATAGGCAGTTCTGAACTGCCTTCTTCACCCCATAAACAAAGTACAGCACCCTCTTACGCAGGAGGAAATTCCTTTCGATGAAGAACACTGCGATCCGAATAACCCAGTCCGAAACTAACCGACCGCAAATCAGAACCAAAACCATCACCTCCCATTTCCATAACTTCAGCTTCCACAGATTCTTCTTCCTCAAGAATGGGATGCAGAGAGTGGTTATCAATGCCGCGACTATTGAAATCAAACTCAACCATTCTAGTAGAACCCAAATGCTGAATTTGGTCTTCTTGAACTCATCCGGGAGATCCTCTTCCATGAACGGATCTTCCTCCTCCTCCTCCCCTTTCTTATTATTCCCTGGTTGCAAACCTGACAGCATCTGCCCTGATTTCTGAATCCGACCGGATTTCCGTTCTGGCTCGTCCGGCGGGTCAATCAGTCTTGATTTGGTCTTCGCCCTGAGCAAACCCGACTTCCTCTGCAACGAAAGGTTCCTCTCGAAAGACGCGTTAGAGGTGCACCTCACAACCTCGCCGTCTCCGTTTGCCGGATGAATATTCTGAGCGGTGCCTCGACGGTCGGGCTGCGGTGGTTGTGGTGGTTTATGGTATTCCTCCATGATCGGGGTATCCTTGTACCTTCGTCGAACGGAATCGCTCAGTTCCTCGGTGGAATTAGGAGGCGGTTCTTCGAAGGAGACCTTGAGCTCCCTGGAGAAACTCACCGGCCCAGTCTCGTCGAGCGGAGGCAAATGCGTCCGGTAATTATCTTGTTGGAGCTCGTCCATTTCTAAATCCATGTCGAGGGACATGTCGCCGGAGAGCTTCTGTCTGTGCAAGAATTTACCAATGAGCATTGAGGGAGGGTCCTCGGGTTTCGGGGCAGGTTGCTGGAAATCAAAACTCTGGCCATGCCTGGTGGTGGGGATGTCACCTTCTTTCCAGAAGTCGTAGCTGGGATCCCGCCGAATCTTGTTTTCGCCCTGGGAGCAGGTTGGTTTGGAAGATTTAGAGTCGCCGCCGTCGATCTTGACGATCACCTCTCCGCTGTAGGTGGGGCTGCTGGCGGAGGTCATGGAGGAGGAAGGGGCAGGGTGGGGTTGAAGAAGATTATGATCGGGAGATGGGTCTTGCTCGAACAGAATGGGAATTTCTTCGCGCCCAGCGTCACCGCCGCCCCCTGCGAAAAGCCTCGTGGAACGCTTGAACGAACCATAGGACTTGAAAGATTTCCTGAGCGCGAAATCCATAAAAAAGAATCTTAAATTACGGAATCCAAACGAAAATATAGCCACGTGATGGAGAAATTTGCATGTTGTGGGGTAAAAACTAAATAGGTTGTTAGATTTTTGTTTGTTGCTGCCCAGATGCAAGTACAACTAATTAATAATTATTGTTTTGGACATGCAACGTTGTCAGAGAGAAATGGAGATAATACGTTTCGAGGTGGACTCGGAATCCGACATGAACTGGATTCAATTTGCAGCGTGGCGGACCGAAACAACAACCACCCAGGGCGACCTGCACAGAGAACAGGAAACTAATTATGGTAATATATATGGATGTGGATTGGTGGCCAAGAAAATTAAAAAACTAGGAATTGTCATGTTAAAAAAAAAAAAATTAGAGCTCGTGTCTTCGGATAATTACATCAGTGCCACTCTTGTCTTGCTTGATCTTGTGAGGCTGGAGAGGGAGGGAAACAAAAGCGCAGGGTGGGAGAATTTAGAAATGAAGAGAGTGGACTTAATTATAGGTTAGCTTTTGCGGTTGAAAAAAAATAAATAAATAAAAAGATGTTATTGAAGGAGGGAGGGGGTGGGAGCTGGTTGCTGCGAAGAGGTCGGGGAGGCTGCTGCAACATTGGAAGATTGTGTTCTGTAGGAATTTGCGGAATTCATCTCTATCGCGATCCATAAATCTATCTATAAAATTGTTGGGAGTTATCACTGTCATCGCCAATACTTATAAAAGTCAATATCTCAATAAAAACTACATAAAATCATCCTACTCTTTTGTTTCCAAAAGGATCCTTTAATTTTCAGCTCATTTTTGTTTACATTATAATATAATACAACATGTTTCGCTAAGCCTAAGACTTCAAGGGGGGGAAAACAAGAAAACTCAAAGACGCCCAAGTACTGCTTGCTGCTGGTTTTGTTCATCGTTTTGAATCTCACGAGTAACCGGATTTTTTTCTTGGGAAACTAATACTCCTTCCATCCCAAATTATAAAACATTTTTAAATAAAATCTCACATATCAAAAAATCTTATTAAATACACTTAATCACCTTATCTTTCCAAAACAAAAATATAAATTTTTTAAAATACCCATCATTTAATACATTGAAAAGAGAAGGGATGAAAATTAATTATAAAAAAAAGATAATATTAAAATTGGTGCATTTAATGAAACCTTAATTTACCCAAAATATCTTATATTTTAGATAAAAAAACTCCTTTAAAAATATCTTATAATTTAAAATGAAGAGGGTAGTTTATTACTAAACTTCACCTCATTTAATATACTCACACAAACACACTAAATACTATACCAATACAAAATTAGAACTCTCAACCTCCACCAAGTGAAAAGGTGGTATTGTCAACTTGTCATTTAATTACACATAATGACTATGGTGCAGCCACTGTAATGAGGGAGGCTAAGAGCTCATTATATACTACCTATGTCCTAAATTATACGGTATTTTTAAAGAAATTTTTTTATTTTAAAATATAAAATACTTTGAATAGATTAAGGTTTTATTAAATGTATTAATTTTAATATTATTCTTTCTCTCTCTATAATTAATTTTCATCCTTTCTCTTTTCAATATATTAAATGATGGATATTTTTAAAAATTTATATTTTTATTTTAAAAAAATAAGGTTGTTAAGTGTATTTAATGAGATTTATTAGTATGTGAAATTTTGTTTAAAAGTGCCTTATAATTTAAAACAGAGGGAGTACTTAATATTTTAATAATTGAGATAAGATATAAAGATTATATTTACATAAAATATTATATTAACATGTTTAATATAATTTTCTAAAAGTAAAAATAATTATCAATATATTTATATTATTATAATTTTAGTTCTAGTATAATTATTATTTTTAAAAAATTATTAATTTTTAAATTAAATTATCTTGCATCACTGACTTCGCCACTACATAATGATATTTATATATGTGATTTCAGGGTTGTAATTATGTCATCTTACATGTAATTTTATAGACATGAAAATCTTTCAAGGAACTACAAACTTTGAAACTCAATCAATAATTTTACTCTTCAAATCTTGCGTGTTCTGATCATGTTGTAGATATAAATGTATTAGATTAACTTGCTTTGTCTTGCATTGTTAAGTCACCCATTGTGGTCTTACAAGTGAGATGATATTTATAAATTTAAAAAATTCTCTAACTTAATAGGTTAATCTTTTGAGATAAGCTTTCTATTTATACTTATACTCGAAAGATTATAGGTATCGATATTGAGAAATCAATGTTATAGAAATGGCTACCCATAAAACCTACTAACCAACCGGAGGCTAAATAAAGTATTGTGAGCTAAATATATTAGCTTAGTTTGCTTTGTCATACATTCAAAGCAAATCTATATTATATACAACAACAACAATAACAACAAGCCTTTATCCCATTAGGTGGGGTTGGCTATATGGATTACAAAACACCATTGTGCTCTATCATTTATTAAGCTTTTAGGAATATTATTAATTAAGAGATCGCGTTCAATAACTTTCAAGAGTGTTCTCTTAGGCCTTCATCTACCTCTCTTAATCGGACTCAAAGTTATATGTTCCACTCTTCTCACTGGTGCCTCCCTTAGTCTTCTTTGTACATGCCCAAACCATCTCAACCGATTTTCTATCATTTTTTCCTCAATAGGTGCCACCCTCACTTTTTCGCGTACGTGCTCATTTCGAATTTTATCTTTTCGTGTATGTCCGCACATCCATCGTAACATTCTCATCTCTGCTACTCCAACTTTATGCTCTTGCTGTCCCGTTAGAGCCCAGCATTCACTACTATATAACATTACCGGTCTGATAGCAGTGCGATAAAACTTTCCTTTAAGTTTATTAGGCACCTTACGGTCGCAAATAACTCCTTTAGCTTTTCTCCAATTAAACCACCCAGCTTGAATTCTATGTGAAATATCTCCACTAATTTCGCTATCATTTTGAATAATGGCTCTTAAATATCTAAACTTTTCCACTTGAGGTATAATTTGGTCTCCCAATTTCACTTCCAAATTATTGTCGAATAGTTCTTTACTAAATTTACAATATAAATATTCCGTCTTACTTCATGCATAATTATTTATATATATATATATATATAATTTACAAGAAACCATACTATTTGTAAACTATAAACAATGTGTCTTATTTCAGACTTTAGAGAATGCACCTTCATCCACATACCAAAACTAGTATTTACAGTTAAGCTGCTTCACTTATCATATTTGACACACACACACACACACACACACACACACACACACACACACACACACACACACACACACACACACACACACACACACACACACACACACACACACACACACACACACACACACATTTTGTGTAATACGAGTATATGGAAAATTGTATTAATAGATAAATATATTAAAGAAAAAATGATAATAAAATCTTCTTGAATTATATAAATGACAATTTAATCTTTTAAAATGTCATAATTCTACTAAAATTTTTAAAAACTTCTTTGTCAATAAATTTTAAAGTGAAAAGATCATTTTTATCCTTATTGACAAGTTACAATTTCTTATTCAATTCTTATAATTTTTTAAATTAAAAATATTATTCCTTAAACAAAAGTTATAATTGAGATTTGTCATTTTAAGAACTTGTTTTTCAATAGCAGAAATTACATTTAACAAATTATGATTTGTTATGAAATAAAAGTTATTATTCCTTAAATAAAAGTTGTGATTGATTCTTATTTTTTCAATAACAAAAACTACACTTGATAAGTTATGATTTTTTGCTTGACTCTTGCAATTTACAAAATAAAAATTATTATTCATTAAGCAAAAGTTGTGATTGGAGCTTGCTATTTTTAATAAAGATAAAATAATTTTTTACTTTAAAATTTATTGACAGAGAAGTTTTTAGAGACTTTAATAAAATTATGATATCTTGAGATGATTTTGTTTTATATAATTCAAGAGGATTTTAATATCATTTTTCCTATATTAAATGCTTAGGAAGACTAGAACAAACATCAAAGGACCAAATGAACCCTCTCTTTACTATTGCTATATACTCCATCCATCCATATTATAATATAAATAATTATTAACTAATTCACATTTTTAAAAAAAGTTAGTTAAAATTTTTATTTTTCAAAAATTTCACATTTTTCTTGCCATACCCTTAGATATAATAAATATAATATTAGACTTATTCAAAACACTGTCGCCGATTATTTTAAAAAGTAAGGGTATAATTGGACAAATACATAATACCTATTCAATATCTTATATTTTAGATTAAATAAGATTTTTAAAAAATAACTTATATTATTTAATAAATTTTATTGAGTGAACTTTGGAAGACTAAGGCCAGGGAGAAGCAGAAGGTCAAAGGCAATCTCAATTGTCAAGTGTCAACTCTATCCGCTGAGCCTGCGGATGGGGGTAAGATGACTTTTTGTCTTTTTTCTTTCTTTGTTTTTGTTTTTGTTTTGTTTTGGAAGTGGGCAGGCAGATTTCCCAACTAAAAGGTTATGCTTGCACCCCCCCCCCAAACAAAAGAAAGTGGGGGAATTGTACGAGCACTAAATCACTATAAATTTTTTCTAATACTAGCGTCAACAAATATACCTATGCATTAGCATTTGGTAGAAACAAATGCTTGGGATAAATTAAACAAAAATATAATAAGAATCTTGGAAGCCTGTGATGCTTGTAAAGGTCATATATATAAATGATAATTAACCATACCTGCCTGCACCCAACTGTCAATAATAAATGCCCAAATCACGTGTTACGTTATGTTTCCTTTTTAAAAGTCGTAGAGGTAAGACATTGGACATAAACGTTTAGGTTGTTTGTGACTACTAAATCATGTGTTGCATACAGATCTATCCTAAATACTTTTCTCTTTCGATATATATAAATATATATTAAAAAATTATATATTGATGCATGGTGATGAAAATGTTTGAATGTCACAGTACAGCATTGTTCACCTAAGGGAAAAAAGAAATAATTTGTCTTTTTTTTATTGATAATATCATGATAGTATTAGTTCGGTTCCATTTTGGGCTGTGAGCATTTTAATTTTTACTTTTTACTTGTTTAAATCAAATGTTATTATTCTTAATTAATTTATTTGATTTTTATATATCATTCTGATTTTTCTAATTTTACAAAATAATCTTTAGTTGTTCGAAATCACCCAACGCGTTGAGAAGCAATGACCAAGTAATGGAACAACCAATTCAAAGAACGTCACGTTATATATATATATATATATATATATATATATATATTTGTGGGTTCTTGTTTCTTTTTTGGAGGGAAGGGAGATGCTTGAATGCATGTTACTGCCGATATGATAGTTATCCTATTTGCTTTACGTGGTTGAGTGGATGCAACTTGCTAGGCCAATGCACGCAAAGTTTCAGAGGCATGCTGGCACGGGATCCAAGACCCTACTCACTAGACAGCAGTCGCCAAACCACTAATTAGTACAGTCTTCGTCCAAAGGCGTGTGAATGAAAATCCCATAAATTGCAATTTGCTAGTCCAGTAACTATGTACTGAATGAAACTGCCATGTGGAAGGTGGCCAATAGCCACATCAGGCAAAAGTATGTCGGCGTCAAGGATACACCTTGGCTCCACTTCCAGCATGTTTGATTCAAGGAACAGTTCAACTGGTATAAACATCAGAAATCTGTAAAAAGATTCGATTGTATAAATGACATCATTGTGGGGGGTCGCTTACATATCTCAGGTTCCTGACACGGACACCTCTTTCTGGAATGCCGTTATGCCCTAGGCGAGTTGCTCATGGAATTGAAATTTACATACATATATTCACTGTATTTTTTTTTTTTTTTTGGTTGCCCACACTCATTGCATGTTAATATGAGAAGAAATTGACGTTTCTTTTTTAAATTCTAAAAAGTGAGGAAATCTAGTGAAAAAGCAATACCATGATCTCAAGAGAATGTACATCTCAATCTAGAGAGTGAATAGAATCTACACTACGAACATCGTCCATTCTCCTACTTTTCAGTGATGACCTCGGCCTCGTCTGAGGGCAGAAAAAAATCCTGCAGATCTCTCCCTTCGCTTCTCCTCTCCATGATTCCCAGCTTGCTAAAATATTTGCAGATTTTCACAAGTGTTATACTTTAATATGTATCACATTAAATACATACAATCTTAATCCTCGCTAACAAAAAAGAATTAAGTGGAAAAAAAAAACGATAACAAGAATATATCATCAAGCTACAGTAGCCATCTTATACCTCGTTAGCTAATTCCTGCAGGATCTCAATAACTTCAGAGAAATCAGGCCTTAATGTTGGATCTTGCTGCCAACACCTCTCAAGAAGCTCAATAAATTTTGGATGAGTGTTCTTGGGGATCGTGGGTCGTAGGCCCTGAAATCCATGTAAAGTGCGGGTAACAAACAGTCATCATCCACAATTATATATTCCAGTCAATCAGGCACACCAATTTATTTAACGAATCCAGAAAAGTAGTTGTAGCAAAAGTAAGAAAACATAATCTGGTAGCTAATTCTATTCAGCAATGAGAGTTACCTTTTGAACCACTCCTATTGCTGCCTGTAGTGGGGTCAAATATTCATATGGAAGCTGCCAAGAAAAGAGCAAAAACAAAACCAATGAATAATAAATAAATGATAGGAAAGAATATTTTGAAAATCCAGTACTAAGAAATACCTTTCCAGTGAGCAATTCCCATAAAACTACTCCAAAACTAAACACATCAGCCTTTTGATCGTATGGTTTGTGTTCTACAACCTTCAAAGCAAATAAACCGGGTTAAGAAAAGATGTCAGGATTAGCTATCTTCCATTATTTCGTCACCAGACAAATAGTATGGGAACCCCTAAAACTACCAAGCGAAATGTGCACATTGTCTACCTATTTCTCCTCCTACTTCAAACCATTATGGTTATTCTAAAATATATTATGCCGCAGGAATCCTTCCACTATTTTGCATTTGCAACCAAAAGACTCAAACTAAATGATGATTTCTTGAGCATTGAATTTTCTTTGATCAAATTCTGAACAAATCGAGCATGCAACAATGGGGAAGCATCAGGCCTGTAAACCAGAGAAAATGATATATAATAGTAAAAGAACCACTCAGTTGCCCATACTTTTTTTCCTTCTAGTAAAAATGTTACTGTAAAGTTGGTTACACAGTGCTTTGTTTTAGGCATTGCTTCACTGCTTTCCTCAACATTGAATGTATGGCCTAATTATTATGCTTCAATGCAGAAAAATATGAAATGTAAATTTTTTCTAATAGAGAAAAGAATGTCCGGCGATATCTGTTAGTGTTTGATGCTTGCATCATGTAGATGGAAAAGCTTTCCCCTTCAGGAAAAATTCAAAAGGACCTTCATGGTAGTTCTGTGATATTGTTATGAGAATCCAAGTGGACACTAATAGCTAAGAGATAAATAACTTTTATGCATTTTTTCTATTATTGACAGTCACAATTGGTCACCCCCCAATAACTGCCTTTTTTCCTTTTGGTGGTGGGGGGGATTAAACTCAGTCTGAAGAAAAAATGAGAATATATTATACCTCAGGTGCCATCCATCGGTATGTGCCAGTTTCTGCTGTCATAACTCCGGATTGATCTTTCACTCTAGCTACACCGAAATCAGCAACCTTGACAACCTGTAAGGCAAAACATACAGGACTTTAGTCTTCCCCATGTATTATGTTATTGATTATAGTTAGCCATACACAGAAGGTTATGAGAGAGATAAAGAAAAGGATAAGAAAGACAAGTTAAAGAAGCCCCGTACATGATTTTCATCCATCAAGAGATTAGCAGCCTTCAAATCTCTATGGATAATATCATTCTGGTGCAAGTAGTTCATTCCCTTGGAAACATCAATCGCTACTTTGAGCAGGGTTGGAAATTTGAAAACGCCCTTCTGCTTATGCAAATAGTCATACACACTTCCACCACACATAAATTCTGACATCAAAATAAGAAACAATCACTAAAGATACACAGTTCTGTTAAGTTATTTTATTCTAAATTATGCACGCCACTAAATTTCACCTGTTATTATGCAAAAGTGTGGTGGCTTTGTACATGCTCCAATAAATTGCACAACATTCTTGTGCCTAACCTTTCTGCAAGTTCGAGCACTAAGTCTAATAAGGTATAAGTGTAAAAACAAGAAAAAAAAAACTAAAATCAGTTTCTGCACTGTACATTCCCTCCCAATAATAGAATATTGATCCACCAGATTCTGCATGCATCTCTTAGCATGCCAGAGATTCTAAGCAGGGTCAATTGAATTAGTTTCTTAATTTACTACTCCCTTTGGTCCTCAATATAGGAGCTAGTTAGCTAATTCACATAGATTAAGGAAATGAGTTTAGTTAGTTTTTTGTCAATATCGTGTATTTGTTTCCCTAAAATACCACTCTTTTTAATCAATTACATTGAAAACCACCCTCTGCAAACATTTTTTGGTTTCCATAAAAAATGTGTAATCAATGAAGGTAGTGTAGGAAAAAAATAATAAATGTGAAAGACAAAGGAGATTGAGGTCTTACATTTCGAACCAAAAAACAAACTCCTCAACTTGCTTCTACATTTAAGACCGGATGGAGTATTTTAAATTGAGAAAGAAACCCATGGGAAAGAAACAAAAAGTCCACACACACACACACACACATTATACTAGTATGGATATTATTGTTTCATAGGTTTCTATTTCATGGCAAATGGATTAGGATTAACTAGTCATAGCATGATTTCTAATTGTGTGCATCATAACAACAACAACAACAACAAGCCTTTATCCCACTAGGTGGGGTCAGCTACATGGATTGCAAAACGCCATTGTGCTCTATCATTTATTAAGCTTTTAGAAATATTATTAATTAAGAGATCACGTTCAACAACTTCCAAGAGTGTTCTCTTAGGCCTTCCTCTACCTCTCTTAATTGGACTCAAAGTTATATGTTCCACTCTTCTCACTGGTGCCTCCCTTGGTCTTCTTTGTACATGCCCAAACCATCTCAACCGATTTTCTACCATTTTTTCCTCAATAGGTGCCACCCTCACTTTTTCACGTATGTGCTCATTTCGAATTTTATCTTTACGTGTATGTCCGCACATCCATCGTAACATTCTCATCTCTGCTACTCCAACTTTATGCTCTTGCTGTCCCGTTAGAGCCCAGCATTCACTACTATATAACATTGCCGGTCTGATAGCAGTACGATAAAACTTTCCTTTAAGTTTATTAGGCACCTTACGGTCACAAATAACTCCTTTAGCTTTTCTCCAATTAAACCACCCAGCTTGAATTTTATGTGAAATATCTCCACTGATTTCGCCATCATTTTGAATAATGGCTCCCAAATATCTAAACTTTTCCACTTGAGGTATAATTTGATCTCCCAATTTCACTTCCAAATTATTTTCGAATAGTCCTTTACCAAATTTACAATATAAATATTCCGTCTTACTTCTACTCAGACGAAAACCTTTACCAAATTGTGTGCATCATGAATGACATAATTATACACTCCAATTTGAGTATGTGTGGGAATATCTGAATTTATTGTAAATATTCTAGCCTAATTATTAGGGATTATTGTTGATTATTAGGAGTTATTAGCATTTATTACTTTGTCTCACAACATTGTGTATACACTGATTGTAACACATATTTTAGTATGGATAAGAAATATATTTCTTTCAATTTCCACATGGTACCAAAGCAAGTAGGGTTCACAAAAATTTTCTTGGTTTTCTAGGTAGTTGGGTCGCATGGCAACACATCTGTTACGCTGGCAGTACGTGTCAATCACGGTGGAGGCCTTCCTGACTCTCACCGCCAGCATAGGACGACTCCCTAAGGTGCGATCGGCGAAACCCAAAAATTTGGTGATGATCACCGACACGTGGAGCCCACATGCACCACCTGAAGATTCTGCAACAGTTGCAGCCAGGTGGCACATGCAGGCGCGTAGACAACCTGGGCAAGCGGCAACACCTTCAGTTGCACTCGACTTGGTGTTTTTGGCCAGATCCACCCATTACCTAAGTCTCAAGAGCCTTATTTCGAAGTCCTCAAGTCTTGGGTGTCTCGTCCAGTGCTGTTCTGTGTCACCGTGGCTATTTCTTAGTGACTTAACCCTTAGTTCCCCTTTGCTAATTCTACAGTTCTGTTTGTGGTGGCTCTCAACTATATCTTTTATGTGTCTCTATATTTTAGCATACAGAGGGTACTTCGGCCTCCAATTGATGCTGTCATTGTGGGATACATATCACAGTCTGTGTCCTCTATGTTAGTGGCTAAAAAGTGTACCTTCCTTCAAGCCTTAAAAACCACACAGAATACATCTCTATGGATTTTTTATTTTGGATCCTCTGACCATATGACTAATTGTCATAAGTTGTTTTTCACTTACACCTTGTGTGCTAGGAATGTTAAAGTAAAGGTTATAGATAGTTCCTTGGCACCTATAGCAGGAAAAGGGAGTATTGGTATTTCTAACTCGATAATGCTGGAATCTATTCCCCATGTTCCTAAACTTGATTGTAATTTCCTTTCCATCAGTTAGTTGACCAAGCAGTCACATTGTTATACTAAATTCCTCCCTTCCCATTGTGTATTTCAGGACCTATCATCTGAAGTGACAATCGAAAGTGCCTAAGAGTATGAGGGGCTCTACTATTTAGAAGTCCCCACTCAAGTGGGTAATTCACTAATTGTTGGTAACTTTGCATCTACCTCTAAAGTTAATCATTTTATATTGTGGCATAAGAGGATGGGTTATCCTAATTTTCTTTTCCTTCAGCATTTATTTGCAATTCTATGCCTAAATATGAATGTTTATGATCTTCAGTGTGAAGTATATGAACTTGCCAAACACCATAGATCTTCCTTTCTTGGAGTCCCCTACACACCTACAAAACTGTTCACAACCATTCATAGTAACTTATAGGGACCATCTTGTATTCTCAATTGTACTAAAATAACATAATGCACTTCCTTCATTGATGACCACATTCGTGTCTGTTGGGTTTATCTTTTAAGAAACAAGTCTGAGGTTACATCCATGTTCATGACTTTCTTCAACATGATCAAAACTCAATTCAACACCACCATCCAAGTTTTATACACCAACAATGGCACTGAGTACTTTAACCAATCATTGAATACTTTCCTCCAAATGCATGAAATTATTCATACTAGTTCTTGTGCCCATACACCCCCAACAAAATGGGGTTGTCGAAAGGAAAAATCATCATATCCTTGATGTTGCTAGAGCCCTCATGTTTACTTGCAATATGCCCAAGTTTTATTAAGGGGATGCCGTTTTGACCACAACCTACGTAATCAACTATATGCCTACTCGAATCTTATCCTTTGAAACCCCTCATCACAGATTACAAAATGTTTTGTCCACATATCATATTGAAACTAATCTTCCACTTCGTGTGTTTAGTTGCATAGCCTTTGTCCATAACCATCAAAATACTAAACTTGACCCTCAAGCTACAAAATGCATCTTTCTTGGCTATTCTACTACCCAGAAAGGATATCGATGCTTTGATCCTATCTCAAAACATACATTTGTTAATCTTGATATCACCTTTCATGAGGACATGCCTTTCTATCCTAATCCTTTGATTTAAGGGGAGAACATAGGTGAATTTCAAACTTGGGGACAAGAACCTAATGAAGAACTGGTACTTCCTGAGCCATGGTTTACACCAAATGAGCCATTATTACCACTACCAACCCTTGAACTATTACTCTCACCTACCCTAACCACACCACCATCTCCTCTTATGTCACAACATGAAGACCACATGCAAGCAGGGGAAGATGTAGAAAAACCACAAAAGGGAGAGTTATTTGTTTACACTCAAAAAAAGAAATTAAAAAACAATGAGCAACTTGTACCTGAAGCACTAAGAAAGTTTGAACCAGAGATAGTTCCTAACGCAGAAACTCATGGTGACATAGACGTTGGGGTAATTCCTAGGACCCCAAAGCTAGATGGTACAGAACAAGTAAGTGAATCTATTGATCTTGGTCTTCCTATTATTGTGAGGAAGCAACCTCGCTCATATACTTTTCACCCAATAGAGAGGTTTGTTTCATACAACACACTTTCTCCTTAATATCAAGCTTTTGTTACTAATATTTGATAAGGTGAAAGTACCTGAGACTATACAAGAGGCCCTAAGCATCCAGGAATGGTGAAGTACTGTCACAGAAGAGATAAAGGCCCTAAGAATAGGACATGGGAACTTGTTCGGTTACCCAAAGGAAAGAAAGCAATGAGTTGTAAGTGGGTATTCACCTTAAAATACAAGGCTAATGGTGCCCTTAACAAGTTGAAAGCAAACTTGGTTGTAAGGGGGTTTACTTAGACATATAGTCTAGACTATAAAGAAACTTTTGCTTTGGTGGCAAAATTAAATACTATTAGAGTCTTATTGTCTGTAGAAGCTAACCTTAAGCAGCGGCTTCATCAGCTTGACATAAAAAATGCTTTTTTGAATGGCGAGTTGAAGGAAAAATCTATATGACTCTACTTCTTGAGTTCTATAAAGATAGGGACAATCAAGTTTATAAATTGAACAAGTCTATATATGGCTTGAAACAGTCACCAAGAGCTTGGTTTGGCAGGTTCTAAAGAGTCCTAAAGTCTAAAGGTTACAAGTAAGCCTTGTCGGATCATACAATGTTTATTAAGGTTGAAGGAAGCAAGAAATGTATTCGTATTATCTATGTCAATGACATAATACTCACTAGAGATCACCTTGAGGATATAGAGAGAGTGAAGGCTACCCTTGGTAAGGAATTTGAGGTCAAGGATCTTAAGATGGAAGTTGCTAGGTTAAGAAGAGGGATCTATGTTTCTCAAAGAAAATATATAATTGATCTTCTGACGAAGATAGGTATGTTGGGCTGCAGACCTATTAAAACTCTTATTGAGGTCAAGAAGCCAAAAAAGAAGCCTAAGGTAAACAAGAAAGGTGAAAAGAAGAGGAGGAAACGAAAGAAACGGAAGAAGCAGCTGGTAAGGAGAGATATCATAAGCTAGTTGGAAAACTGATATATCTCTCTCATATAAGGCCAGATATAGCCTTTGCCGTTAGTATAGCCAGTCAATATATAAGCTATCCAATGAAGAGTCACATGGAAGCAATATGCAGGATTTTGAGATATCTAAAAGGTACTCCTGGTAGAGGCTTATTGTTTAGAAAACATGAGTAAAGATCCATCAAAGTTTACATTGATGCGAGTTGTAGTGGAAACTATAAAGATCAAAGGTTAACCTCTGGCTATTGTTTATTTATATGGGGAAATTTAGTTACATGGAGAAGCCAAAAGCAAAGAGTTGTTTCAAGAAGTAGCTTTCTCACTCAGTTGCAAAATTGCTTAAACTCTGTAAACTGGCAGAAAGATCTCAATGATCCAGTTAAAAAATCTAACACAACTAACCTCATGATATAAACTTCCTGGGCAAACTCCTTCTTCCAATCTGAACTTAAATTCTCAGCCTTGAGAACTTTAATGGCCACATCTTGACTACAATATGTACCTCTAAATCTGTTTTAAACAAAAGAGTTGGTTACTTGAAGAATGTAACAATATCTGAAATGGCATAAAAAAATTTAGTAAACTATCAAAAAGGAAGACAAGTATTTCTAGAGTACTCACAGTTCACCAAATGACCCAGATGCAATTTTATTTCCATATTTCAAATGTTTAGGCTCTATTTCCCAAACATCTGACCCATCGTTTGGTATCACCAAATAAGCTTCTTCACATTTCATTCCCATTCGATCAGTCTTAGCAACATAAAATTCTGATTGTTGAATAGGAAACGCGTGCCTCTAAAAACAAACCCAAGTACAAAATAACTGTCATACATCATAGAAGACAACAAAAACTAAAATACAGGAGGGATAAAATAAATGCAAACTACCTGACAGAAACTATTAAAGATTTCACACACTAGATATTTGTTAAGTAGTCATCTATATGAACATAAAAATGTGCCCGACCTACCTCAATCAACATTACTTCTTTTTCCAAAGCTTCTTTAAGCTGCTGTGTTTCCTGTTTCAACATGAAGTTTGTCAAGCAGTGCCCCCATAAATTGAACTTTTAGTCAGGTTAAATGGTATTAAAAGAGTAAAAGTGATGGAAAACAGTAACATAAGTAGTATATCGCATTCCAGGACCTCGCTTGCCAAACATGTTCTTGTAAAGATCATTGTTTATGAATTATGACAGTTTAGAATTTGCTAAATTTGGAATTTAAAACTATTATTTTCAGAAATTATCACATCCATTTAACATATAAGTACAACACATAAACTTTGGGCATAATTGGTAATTTTGATTTATGTTTTATTTATACACACACACACATATATCACCTTTGGCCAAAATATTTATAAATATATTGTGGAAATATTAGACATTTATCGTAAAGATATTGCTACTGTTGTAAATATCCCTAGGTTATTAGTCTTTATTAGTAGTTATTAGTCATTATTAGTATTGTCTCTCCACCTTATTGTATAAATACCTAGTTCTATTCCAATATTCAATACAAATGAGAAATATTTTCTTCTCAATTCCACGTGATATTAGAGCAAAAGATTCGAAATCAACATTAGGGTTTTTAGGTCATGGTTTTGTGAGGCAGAGTGTTCTCTACCCTAAGGCCTTGCTTGGTATGCAGATCTCAATTTAAAGGGATTGGAATTGAGACTGAGATTGGGACTAGGATTGAGATTGGGATTGAGGATGGGAATGAGGTTTTAAAATCGTGTTTGGTATGGAGTAATATTTATAAGGAATGCTTTCTTTTACGTTACTTTATAATTAAATATAAATTATAAAAAAAACTATAATACCACTTGTTCTTTTTTTAAAAAACCTTTACAACTACATCTCCCATCCATCACTCATGCGATAAAGCCTTATTCGATCTCTCATCTTTGATCTCCTTCTCCCTTCAGATCTGGCATCGGTGTCAACAGATGAGAGGATGAAGTCGACAAATGAAAGGGGCGTCAGGGTCACTTGGTTTGAAAAGAGGGCAAAGTGTGCTTCTTCATTCACTCTCACTCTTTGCCCATTTGCCGCAATCACTTTCTCCTCTAAGGATGAATGTTTGTGACGTCGTGCGATGGTGGAGTCCGACTGATGGAGATGACTCAGACGAGTGCTTGTGATGAGATCAACAAAGGAAAAAAATAGAGAAGAATGCTACATGGCTGTGATAATGATGAGCTTCTACAAGGACACTTTTGTTCGAAAATTATAATAAACAAGGATAATTTTGTCCTCAAAATTTCCAAACCTGGGACTGATTTTCCAATACCATGTAGGGAGTGGGTTTGAGTAATCCCACATAAGTGGGTTTAAGCAATCCCAAGTTAGACCTAATCCCTGATACCAAACACATGAAATTAGTCATTTTCCAGTACCAATCCCAAGCCCAACCTTTCATTCCTTCCTACCAAACAGGGCCTAAGGGAGTTATGAGCATGATGATTGAGGCCTTATTGGCCATCACCACCACCACCTTAGGAGTGGTCAGTGCAATCCCTGAAGGTCGTTGTGTTGACAGCGTGTGTGGCCTACATGCGCCACCTCAAGATTCAACGCCAAAACTGCTTAGTTGGCACATGGGGGTGCGTCCTATCTCTGTTCAGACTATTACTCATCTTTCCAATGATGAAACAAGATTTCTAGCAAGATCCCATAGATTCCTATAGTTGGTACTCTATTTTTGATTTTTTGTTGTCTCTATAATACATTTAGGCTTTTGTTTGAAGAATTTTAGAGTACCAGTCAGATGCGTCTGTTGGTTCCTTTCTTATATATGCATTTCATCTCATGGGAAGCCTTAGGAATGGTTATTTGGACTCTCATAAGTACTATGATGATGGTGACCAAATATGGGTCTCTAGCATCAGTGGAAAAATATGGTTCTAGAGTGTTTTGTGGTTAAAAGAGGAACATTTCTTCAGGCTTCAAAGACATCGCGCAACATCATAGTCTAGATTGTTAATTCAAGAGCCTCTGACTATATGACATGTTTTGATAAGTTATTGACCACTTATACCCCATGTGCTAGGAATATTAAAGTCAAGATTGCAGATGGCTCCTTAGCACCACTAGCGGGAAAAGGGAGTATTCAAATTTTTGATTCCATAGTGTTGGAATTTATACTTCATGTGCCGAAACTTGATTATAACTTCTTTTAATTAGTCAATTGACCAAACGATCAAGTTGTTACACTAAATTCCTCCCATCCCATTGTGTGTTTCAGGATTTGTCATTTGGAGTGACAATTAGAAGTGTTAAGGAGTATGAAGGGCTCTATTACTTTGAAGTCACCACTTAAGTGGGTAACTCACCGATTGTTGGTAATTCTATACCTATCTCTAAAGTTAATGATTTTATATTGTAGCATAAGAGAATGGGTCATCCTGACTTTCATCACCTTCAATGATTGCTCCCAACTTTATGTCCAACCCTAAATATCAATGACATTCATTGTGAAGTGTGTGAACTTGCCAAACACCATCAAACATCCTTTTCGAGAGTCAAATACCCACCCACTAAGCCTTTCACAACTATTCATAGTGACTCTTGGGGACCATCTCGTACACCCAATCATACTAAAGCAACATGGTTTATTTCCTTTATTGATGATCACACTCATGTTTGTTGGGTTGACCTTTTGCAAAACAAGATAAATTTCTTCAACATGATCAAAACTCAATTTAGTACCACAATTCAAATCTTACACACTGACAATGACACTGAGTACTTTAACCCATCTTTGAATACTTTCCTCCAAATGTATGGTATTGTCCATACTAGTTCTTGTGCCCGTACGCCCTAATAAAATGGGGTTGCGAAAAGGAAAAATCATCATATACTTGATATTGCTAGAGCACTCATGTTTACCTACAATGTGCCTAAGTTCTATTGGGGGGAATGCTATTTTGACTGCAACCTACCTCATCAGCCGTATATCCAATCGAATCTTATCCTTTGAATCTCCTCTCCAAAAGTTACAAAGTATTTTCTCTACATCCTATATTGAAACCAATCTTCACTTCATGTGTTTGGTTGCACAGCCTTTTTCTATAACCACCAATACACCAAACTTGAACCTCAAGCAATCAAATGCATATTCGTTGGCTATTTTGCTACTCAAAAAGGATACAAATGCTTCAACCCTACTTTAAAACACACTTTTGTTAGCCTTGATATCACCTTTCATGAAACTACTCCATTTTATGCTGATTCTTCAATTCAGGAAGAGAGCATAGGAGAATCTCAGACTTGAGATCAAGAACCAAATAGAGAACTGGTGAATATTGAGCCATTATTACTACCAACCCTTGAGTCATTACCTTCATCTGAGCCTTTACCTTCATCTCCTCTTATGTCACAACCTAAGGAGCACAAGCAGACAAGGAGAGATGCAGAAAAACCACAAAAAGGAGAACTATCAGCTTACACTTGGAAAAGAAAATTGAAAGACAGTAAGCAACTTATACCTGAAGCACCAAGAGAGTCAGAACTAGAGGTAGCTATTGAAGTAAAAACTCATAGAGATTTAGAATTTGGGACAACTCTTGAAAAACTAAAGCTAGATGGTATAGAACAAGTAAGTGAATCTACTGATCTTAAACTTCCTATTGCTTTAAGGAAGAAACCTCGTTCATGTACTTTTTATCTGATAGAGAGGTTTGTCTCATACAATGCACTTTCTCTTTAATATCGAGCTTTTGTTACTAATCTTGATAAGGCAAAAGTACTTGAGACTATATAAGAAGCCTTAAGCATTTATGAATGGCGGAGTGTTGTCATAGAAGAAATAAGGGCCTTAGAAAAGAATGAAACATGGGAACTTATTCAACTACCCAAAGGAAAGAAGACAATGAGTTGTAAGTGGGTGTTTACCCCAAAAAATAAAGCTAATAGAGGCCTTGACAAATTGAAAGCACGTTTGGTTGCAAGGGGGTATACCCAAACATATAGTTTAGACTATGAAAAAACATTTGCTCTAGTGGCAAAACTGAACAGAGTCTTATTGTTTGTAACAGTTAATCTTAAGAGGCCTCTTCATCAACTTGACATAAAAAATGCATTTCTGAATAGAGAGTTAAAGGAAGAAGTCTGTATGACTCCACCTTTGAGGGTTGATAAAGGCAAAGAAAATCAAGTCTGTAAACTAAAAAAGTCTATATATATATATATATAGCTTGCAACAATCTCCAAGGGCTTGGTTTGATAAGTTTTTGAGAGCCCTAAAGTCTAAAGGTTACAAGCAAGCTCTTTTGGACCATACAATGTTTGTTAAGGTTGAGAGAAGTAAGAAATATATCCTTATTGCCTATATTGATGACATAATACTCACTAGAGATCATTTTGAGGAGATAAAAAGAGTAAAGAGTGCCCTTGGCAAGGAATTTGAAGTCAAGGATCTTAAAAAGCTAAAATACTTTCTGAGGATGGAAGTTGCAAGGTCAAGAAGAGGAATCTATGTTTCTTAGAGAAAATATACACTTGATCTCCCAATGGAGATAGGTATGTTGGGCTGCAAACCTATTGAAACCCTTGTTGAAATCAAGAAACCAAAGAAGAAGCCTAAGGAAGGTGAAGAAGAAGAGGAGGAAGCCAAAGAAAAGGAAGAAGCAGCTGACAAGGAGAGATATTAGAACCTCATTAGAAAGTTGATATATCTCTCTCATACGAGGCCAGATATAGCATTTGCTATTAGTGTAGCCAGTCAATATGAGTTGTCCAATGAAGATTCATATGGAAGCAGCGTACAGGATTTTGAGATACTTGAAAGGCACTCCTAGTAAGGGCTTATTCTTTAGAAAACATGAGCAGAGATCCATTGAAGTTTACACTGATGCAAGTTAGGGTGGAACCTATAAAGATCAAAGATCAACCTCTGGTTATTGTTCATTTGTATGAGAAAATTTAGTTACATGGAGAAGCTAGAAGCAACAAGTTGTTTCAAGAAGCAATGTTGAATTTGAATTAAGAGCTTTGGCTCAAGGAATAGTAAAAGAGTTGTGGCTGAAACGAGTCTTGAATGAAATACAGGTGGGAGCAAGCTCACCATTGAAGCTATATTGTGATAATAAGGCCGCCATAAACATGGCCTTAAATCCAGTATAACATGATAGATTTAAACATGTTGAGATAGACCGACACTTCATTAGAAAAAAGTAGAAGAAGGAATTTTATGTTTGACGTATTTGCCAACAAAGTAGCGCTCTACTAATGTTTTAACTGAAGGGTTACTTAGACCTACAATTGAGAATTGCATAAGCAAGTTGGACATAATTAGCATTCTATGATCCAACTTAAAGGGGAGTATGGAAATATTAGACATTTATTGTAAAGATATTGCAACTGTTGTAAATATCCTTAGGCTTTATTAGTCTTTATTAGTAGTTATTAGTCATTATTAGTATTGTCTCTCCACCCTATTGTATATATACCTAGTTGCATTCCAATATTCAGTACCAATGAGAAATATTTTCTTTTCAATTCCACATATATATCAACTGATTTAACCAATTAATTATGAAAGGATCACCAACATACCTCATAGGGCCATCCATCAACAACAAACACGTCTAGTGAGTAACCATCAGTAGTGGAAAAGGCATGTGCCTCTCTGATGTTTAAACCAACTTCAGCAAGCAAAGAAGTCAACTGCATGATGGAATGAAAACCGTGAAATTATAATACAAAATATGATATAAGCTCCCATTGATTACTTAGGATAAAAAATTGGTCTAATGCAAGTTTAAATAAGTAGGGTATGAGTCTAGCAATAGAAGCTGCGTTAAGTGCCTGTTGCAGTGAACTTGTGCTGTGGCAACCATCAACAAGAAGTTGCATATTTTCTCATATAGACTAATTTTATTAGAACTTTATCATACCTGACTCAGAAGCTTTGGCTTGTCATCTGTAGAGAAAGTGATTTCATGCATGGGCCTATATCATTGTCATTGAAATATGGGTATATTTCAATCAAATCTAAAATATAATTAAATACTATCACAAATATATAATGGAAATGAACTAGAGCAGCTCAAACATTGATATAGGTTTAGTTAGGCATATATAGAATAAGTTCTAAAATTTGTACCGTTCCTGTACTTTGGCCTTCGAAAATATGTAAACTTCATTACAGGACCAGCAGATGATTTATAATCTTCAGCACCTCAAGCATTTCAAAGCTTATTGTACAACTCAAAACAATATATTGTAAAAGTTGCAAAAAAGCTATTAAGTTACATCTCCAGAAATGTGACCATGTGAAGGGCAAAGCATATATAATCTAGGACAGGGTTCAATTAAGTTTTCCCTTAGCCTAAGACAAGAACTCAAGAAGCTTACTGAGAATATTTAGCACTGCCATGCACAGAGTGTTCCTCGTCTTCAGATTTATCAGCTTCAAGTGCCAGGGCTTCAAGATTAGGAGAAGAACCAAAAGCAGGAGGAGGATGAACACTGGAATCAATAAATATACAAATGCTAATTACAACCACGAAACAAACAAACACTAAAGAAGATAACAATTAGAGCTTTATGAGAATAACTGGAGTTTTATGAAAATCTACTTGAAAAATTTCACTGGATTTTTAGGAAAAGAGGAAGAGAAGAAGAAGAAACTAATACCTCAGTCTCCTTGGGTAATTTGGAGAGGTTTGACAAGCTTCTTCCCTAGGTACATCTGGATGGATGGAGTCAGCGGAATTTCCATCAGATATGGGATAAATCTGTACGATGAGCCCAACCCAAAAATGGTATTGCCCGTGTGGAATGAGGAAAAATATATAAGTGCACAGTATGGAAAGCGAATATAAGACTAACATTTTTTCTGATAGAAGCCTGAGACTAACTTTTTTTTTTTAAAGGAAAAGAAAAATTCTCCACTAATTAAGGATTTTGATGACAATTCAGCAGCAATTCAACTGAAGAAATGCAGGTTATTTTTGCTCCCTGTGGATGAGACATAAAAATGACTAATGCAGATGAGAGATGTTTGCACTTATGTCAGTGCAAGTGTAAATGTATGTTTATGATGCACAATACTCAATTCTGTATGAAGGCGATATAAAATTCAAACAAGCCATTTAACTTATTCGACCAGTGATGCAGAGAAACATCATGGCCATGCTAATGCTACAATCATACCTAAGTAATTGTAAATTGCAATTTTCATTGTTACCACCTACAGCTAAGAAGTTTAATTCCGATTAATTGTGGCTCCAAGTATAAGGAATCCTTTCACTACTAAATGTCCCAATATATTTCAGCAGGAAATGATAACAGTTCAACAAGATTGTGAATTCTGTATGGTAAATTGCTTCCATAGTTATACAGAAATTAGCATGTGGCAAAAAAATGGCTCACTCCATACAGATGAAATAGAAAACAAATCTGAGGTTTTATAATTCATAATAAAACTTACTCAGCTAAGAAGTGTAAGGATGTGCGTATATAGCTGGGTCAGCTATAATTAACCAAACCAACCCACCTGGACTAGGCGAACTTCAATTGCAGGCCTATGAGCAGGGTCATGAGCCAAACGCAGCAATCTCTTGTGCGTGAGAACATCTGCCGCCCTTTCCACATTAACATCCAACGCATATCTGCAATGCATGACAAAAAGAATGCAAGAAAGAGGCCTAATCAACGGTCTCATACTAATGAAAATGAATCACAACAACTAGGCTGTGAATTTAGAGAGCCAAAAACAACAGGATACAAATTCAACTATCGAATCTCATTGAAGAAAGTGAAGTGAAAACGATAAGAATAAGCAACCGGTCATTGAGTGCCATTAATCTTTTCTCTTAAATGAAGGCAAGTTGACACTGGAAGCGAAACCAATCTACTTCCAACATCTTCAGAAGGAGAACTATATGAAAAGAAAAGAAAGGAGGAGGAGGAGGAGGAGGAGGATAGAAAAAAAGCGCAGCATTTATTTGAAAATGAGAGGAAAATTAAACAAGAAATATGTGAAATCAAGAAACTGGTTAAAGGAATTTGCATAAACGCGAAAGCATCAGCTACAGACAACAATTTCGAGCACAGAAGGGGAAAAAATGAGCAAGAGGGGGGTCGGTTGGGTAAATGTAGGGACCGTGTTGGGAGGCGGTTGAAGTGAGCCCAAAGTTGATGATCGAAGTCAGGCTGTATAGCCTCGTCGTTGCTGGAATTCTTGAGGCGACGAAGAACTTCACAGTACACTTTGAGCTTCTGGCTCTGTTGACGACTCTGAGGCATTGACAACGTATCGGGTACTCTACCTGCACCGTCCTGGTCACCCTGATCCATTACCATTGAATGGAGGACAAGGAAAGACAGGCATGAATTCAAACAAAAGATGAGCGGAGGCAAAAAAGAAAAGAGCAGAAAGGGAGATTGGCGTGGGGATCTATCGGGGTGCTCGCGCTTCTACATGCAACTGTGAAAATGGCTTGATCGTGAAAGACGGAGGATATGTGTGAGCACATTTATAGGGAAAAACTTGCTGTTCACGGGGTTTACGTTGATGCCGGGACGCATAGACTCAACAGAAAAACATCATAGGCGTTCACCGGGCTTTTTATCCAGTTAAAAATTTTAAAATAGCAACATGATATAACTTTTCATTTAAATAATAATAATAACAACTATTTTGGTTTATAAGTAGTGCCTTGCCCAAACTCGATAGCAATAACAAGGATAATAATTTTATGAAATCGAAAAAATATAATTAAGGAAATAATGTATTTATTAAATTTTGTTAGTTAAATAGTAGTAAGCATATTCAGGATTGATAAAAGTGAAAACCTCATTCAAAAAAAAAAATTGTGAAACACGAGACGGTGTAGTGTAGGGTTGCGCGAAACTCTAGATGATATTGTATTTCAATCTAACTCGAAATTTAGTTTCTTTTATAAAAAAAATTAGACTAGACGTGTAGTCTAGTATTGTTCAGTGATAACTCAAATATTAATAGAATTAGATTTGATCTATAAGATTGGGAGACCAGTCCTATAAATCTAGTGTTCACTTAATTTTTTTTTCCATTTTCTTTATGAGAGGCAATAATCTATTTCAATCTAACAAATTCAATTAAAAAAATAAAATTACTTATAATTATAATAACTTCAAAATAATTTCCAACAACAAGAAAAAAATTCTAGTTATAGTTCAAATAATTTAAATTTATAACTTCAATAAAAAACACTTAATAAACTTCAATAACACTATATTACAATGACAATTTAAAAACAAACTTAATAAATCTTCATGCAATCATCTCTTTAAAATTAATTACACTTAAAGTATTTGTCAAAAATAAATTAATTATAATTATATTAAATAAATTAATAGGATCGGATTAAATCAAATGATCCATATACTTAATCTTCTATCCAGTCTAATTTGAAAAAATAGTCTGAGTTTTTTTAATTTTTTTTAATCCTAAAAAATTAATATTTATAAAAACTGAACAGAATCCTCTCGATTTAAATTGAGTTAGATGGGATTAAAAGATTTTTGCACAGCCTTATTGCAGCCTGGAGGGGGGGGGGGGGGGAGATGAACGCGCGGCGGGGTGCTGACTCAGGAACGCGATTGTTTGTGTGGTAAAATGGGAAAGAAGGAGCAAATCTTAATCTTATCCTATAAGTTAGACGGTCCGGTCCGGATCTACTTGTATCGCTCGCAGCTGGGGAGTGCAAGAGGCCAATTCAATCAGGTCTCCCAAGTCTAAAACCTCATTAATTGAAAAAATAGTTGACCACCATATGCGTATCAGATACGTATATTTTTATTTTTAAAAATATAAAAGATGAAAATATATGCAAATATATTTATAAAAAAATTATAAAACATTAAAAATATAATTTCAATTTTAAAAATATTTAGCCTAGTATACATTCTTTAATTATAGTAATATTAAATAAAATATAATTATGAATTATATTTTTATTCCATCTCTACCTAATTGTTTACCGCCTAGTCTCTACTAATAGTTCCTTATTTAGGATTTACCTGTTAAAAGATTATATTCCTACATTTTTATAATTAAAAAATGTAATTTTTATCCTTTTATTATATATAAAACTTTTTTTAGGAAAATCTAATTTTTGACATTAAAAAGAAATCACAGAAATATATTATAAACAAAAATAAATAAATATCACAATATTTAATAAAATTTAGTTTTTTAAAAATAGCCTTGAAATATTGCTTTAAAATATCAACTAATACTTGAAAAAAAATTGGATACATATCAAAAATTAATTTTTTTTTAAATTAAAAAAATAATATTTTGACACTACATGGATACATATCAAAAAAGTATTGACGTGTACGATATTAATATAGATACATGAAGTAATTTAAAATATTGGTACTTCATAGATTGACGAAAATTACAAATTGATGGTGCTATATTTAAACAACGAAAGGGGCACATTCCTTTGCCCTCGAGATCAAAGAGAAAGGTGGTCATTGAAGGAGTGCATGGTCAAAGAAGAAGGGGCGAAGTTGACTTAATGAGAAGCATGTAGCATGCGGGGGATTAAAGAAGAGGCCTCGCAGCGGATCACGATGATGTTGTCTGCCAAGAACAAATGACAATGACTTCGACTTAGTTATCTAATCAGGTTGAATATGATAATCATATACTCCATCCATCCACCTCCACTTAGAGGGTAGGGTGAAAATTTTTTTTAATCTTATTTATAAATTATGTATTAAATTTTTATCATAAATTTTTTTTATTGTCAATAAATATTAATAAAAAACATGTTATTAAATATATATATATATATATATATTATTAATAGAAATAAATTTAAAACGTATTAAATTTTAGAATTGATGAGTTTAAACGTTTTCCTTAATTATAAAAAAAACATACTAAAAGTAATTTACAAATAAAATTAAAGGAGCACGGTGAAAAAGAAAAAGGAGCCAAGTTGGCAAATCAATGCTTCCACCATGTAAGCTATGCCTTTACATTCATGCCACTTTTTAAAAAGATTTACAGTCCTTTTTATAAGTAATTTTGCATAAAATATAAATCATTAATTACTTTATTCTAATTTTACTTAAAAGATGATATATTTAATAAGAGAAAATTAAGAAATTTTTTTCATGAGAATATCAATAATTTAATTATATTTCTTATGGTTCCAATAAGTTAATTAGAACTAGAAGTTATGTAAGATTGGATAATTTATTAGGCTTCTATTTTCAAAAATTATTCCTGTTTTTAAAAAACAAAATAATAAAAAAATCACTTGAGTTGGTAATTGGATTTAATATTTTTAAAATTGATTTATATTTTGTTTTTAAAATAAAAAATGAAAATATCTTAGAGTTATATTCATATTTTATTTTTAAAATACATTACATTTTATTAATATAAAATACTTTCAACTGTGAACAACTATTATCATAAATATTTAATAAGTGTGAAAATATAAAGTTGTAATAAAAATTAATAATATGATTTATAAAAAATTTATTTTATCTCTGTCTTGTAAATAAAAATGGGTGAATATTTAATAAGAAGAATTACTCACAAGCAGGGGTGGAATCAGGATTTAAAAATAAAAAAATTAAAATTAAAAAATATATATAATATAAAATTTTTATAAATTTTAAAAAGATCGAAAATATATAACATTTATATAATATAACATTTAAAAAAAAAAAAAAAGAATAGGGAGGCGATGACGTTTGTCAGTTTCCCCTTCCTCCGCCACTGCTCACAAGGCTCGCACATTACATTTAAAATATCACATTAATTCTATTTAATAATAGGAATGCTAGCCGCGGAAGTTACATGAGAAGACGGGAATCAGGGGAGGGAACCTTGGGGAATAATCTGGCGCCTGGGGCGTCAGTGGAAGCTGATGTGGAGACATGTAAGTGGCTGACGTCGAAAACTGACCCTTCGACCTCACAAGGGACGCCCGAGAATTAATCCCTCTTTTTTTTTTTGGTGCCTGAAAAATTTATTACTTACTTTTTACTATAAAAAAATAATACTCTTTTCATTAAAAAATATAAAATATTTTTAATTAAATGTTATTTTTTAATAAGTAATTACTTATTTTTAAATTAACTCTATTTTTTTATATTTATCCTTATTAAACATCTTATAATAAATATAAAAATATTTATCAACAAGAATATTTTTTTAAAAAAAGATAATTATTACACCTCAAAAGATTAAAAATATTTTATATTTTTTAATATTAAATTCTTTAAAAAATATAATACATTTTTAAATGAAGAGTGTATTAATTGAACAATAAAAATTTTCAATCATTTTCATCATACATAATCAGTATATATAATTTGTCAAGTGAATTTTAACATTTGTTTTTAGATCCATCCTTTGCTTTATTCATAGTTGGAAAAGAAATTATGAGAAAGACAAAACATTTAACTTCATTCTCAATGATTTTATTTTCTTAATTATTAATTATAAGCATCTTATAAATTATAATTATTTTGTCATTTTAGATTGTTAGAGTACAAGTAAGAACTACCAATGGGCACTTAGCCACAATAGTTGGAGCTTGGTCAGCATTTCTTGGGATCATGTGTTCAATCCTTGGGGAGTGCAGCCTCCAAGGAACTTTTCATAGGTACCTATATCATCATAAAGTCTCTCTAAAGCATAGTTCAGATTAGTTTGCGGGTGGAGCAAACAAAAAACCCAGATTCCTTCTCAGGATAGTGGATGATATGGTTTAATTTCAACATGTCAAAAAAAAAAGTACAAATAAGAACAATACATCAAGTAAAGAGAAATGACTACTAATACTACGTTTGGCATGGGAGAAAAGTGGAAGAACAATTACATTTTACCCTAAGGTTAAAGAAAGAAAAAATAAAAGAGAAAGGAAATTAAGAGGAATATAAGATATGAGACTCATATGTTTTCACTTCAACTTTGCTTTCAAAAAATGAAGAGATTTTGAAGATGAATTCCTCCCTTCATCAGTTCATCATGCTTATATTGGTTATACTCCTCTAATCCTTTTTATAGGATAAATAGACTATTTGTTTTGATCCTATTTATAAAACATCTCAATGATTTTAATATCCATTTTTACTCTTTTATTTATATTAAATGTTAAAAATGTTATTAAATGTTAGAATATTTTAGTTTTAATGTATATATATATTTAATATGAGTAAAGTTAAAAAATTATTAAATTTTTAGATATAATTAATGAGGTTTAAAGTTTTTTTATTCTAGTAAAAACGCTTGAAGTGACTTTTATACAAAACAAAAGGAGGTAGTTTAAAATTTTTGGATTGTTATATACTCCATCCGATTTCAAATACAAGAGAAAAGAGCCAATTCACATTGTTTAAAAAAATTAGTTAAATATAATAATTATGTTTGAAATTAAAAAATTTGGACTAAATTATCCATATAATTAATGAAACAAATTTGTATTGTGAAAATAAACATTGACTTTATGAGAAATAATTTAAGAAAAATCTAATAAATGCTTTTAGAAATTTATGGTTTTACTCATAAA